AGGCGGTGCGTCGCGTTCTGCTTCGATGATGGCGGCAAGGCCGCGGCCGGCGATCGCGCTTGTCGAGGATGTGGGTGTGTGGCAGTCCCTGCAGATGCCATCAGGATCAGGGTCATGTAGCGCCAGCTCGCGCGGATGTGGGTGATGAGGCACCCAAGGGCGCCCATCAGGGTGCTTCTAGTCGCGGCGATGGATATGTTCGAAGCGCAGGGGAACGAGGTGAATCAGCTCCTGCGAATCGCCGCTGCAGTCGGGAATGTCGAAGTCGAGAACGTATACTCCGTTCTCGGCGTGCGCCCGTCCGATCTGCTTGCGCATCTTGTTCGGCATTGTGAAGTGGAGCAGAATGTCGCGCGTCTCGGGGTCAGTGCTGAGAATGACTCCGCAATCCAGGAGCTGCGCCGCCGAGAGAAGGTTGAAACGCAGGTTCTGCACAATCAACACGTCATTCAAGGTGATGTGCGTTCTGCTCCCATGTGCCTTGAGCACAACAATGCCTTGCGCGCTTGCGCGCAGCCGCGTGTTGTTCGCCACAGTGACGTAAGTGACGGCAGGGGTGGCGACGGCGTTGGATATGTAATGCTCAGAGCCCACCATATGCTGCCCACAGCAGCTGTCCAGGTACCACGTGTTGTAGCGCCTGTCATCGTTTCGCGCGAGCAGCGCCAGTCGCGGAGTGACGATGTGTGGAGTGTCGACCTTTAAAAACTGTTCGCGTGCGATCCAATTGATCGGTGCCGACCGCGTGTCTGGTACGTGCGGGGGGCTCTCAAGCAGCGGGACTGGGAGATTCCAGTCCTGTTTGTCATCGTCGCTGAAGTCGTGGTGCGTGCTGAACGGGTTGTTGTTCGAGGACGCTCCGATTGGGTCAGGCGCCAGCTCGGGTGATAGTGAGCGTGCGCGCGGGCGACGAGAGCCGCTCGTCATGGTCATATTCCCCATGACATTGCGGACGGGGGCAGCCTGTGATGGCTGCTGCTGCTGCTGAACTGTCGAGTTCCGGTTACGCGATGGGGGTTGATACCCCTGGGCGGGACGCGTGTCGTTCCTCGCGTCTTGTCGGCCGGACCAGGTGCTCGGATTGGTCTGACGAGGGCGGGAACGATGCTTGCATCGGTCCGCCAGGTGCCCGAAATTCCTGCAGATTTTGCAGTAGAGGCGCCGTGGCCGTCGCTCTTCTGTGTTCTCGGCGTAGAAGGCGAGGTGTTCCCTATCTCGTCGTGGCGCTGGTCGCTGCTGATCCATATCCCGTTGTTCGACGAGGAGGGCGGCGCAAAGGGCGGCCTCCGAGATGACCCCCTGCTGTCGGAGAAGCGCCTTGCAGGGCCGCCACTCGGGGCCGAGCCCTTGGAGCACGATATTTACAAAATATTTCCTCAGAAATCGTGCTCCCCAGTTTCGTGATTTGGTCGCATAGGCTCCGACAGCGATTCAGGTAACTGTTGGCCTTCTCTCCTAGTGACATTTTGGTCTCTAGTAGCTGCTGGAGTAGACGGCTCGACGACACCGAGTCCTTCGGTTGATACACACCATTCAGGTGGCGCCAGGCGTTGAGGGCTGGAGCAGGTGAGGTTTTGTATGAGCGAATGCTCAATTGCTCCGTCGGCGACATATTTCGAAGAAGAACCCCGTACGCCATCATGGACTCGTTGTAGTACCTGATTTTTGCGTCGTCAGTTTCCTCCGTGGGTCACGAGTAGCTCCCGTCAAAGTAGTGAAAAATCTGCGCGTTTTGCAGCAGCAGTTCCAGCTCGAAGCTCCAGGTATAGAAGTCTCTGCCGTCAAAGCGCACACTTGTCTTTATTTTTTATATGCTCAAAAACCTTGATTGCGCAGAGAGAATTGCTTCATCGCTGGGACAGGGAGTCTTGGGTGTTCAGCCGTTTGTGTCAAGAGATAAGCCTTGCGGGGCGGAGTTCTGGCCGTTCGAGGCCGGTTGAGTGGGTTGGGAAGATGTTCCCGCATCGCCATTCCGCAATGTTTGGAGCCCTTGCTCCATGCTCGTGAGTCGCTGGAGCAGTTGTGCGAGGACGACGGAAGGGATTGTCGTCGTTTCCTCATTTTTCGCAGCTGGGTTGGGCTGCGCTTCAGTCGTCAGATTTGTCTGACCTCCAGATCCTCCGGCCATTCTCACACGTGAGCGTGTGCCGGACGCCACTTTCCGTTCGCCGAAGATTTCGGTGGTGGCGGTGCGAAGGATTCCTGAGTCGCTCTCATACCATGTTGCGATCAGAAGTTGATCACCCTCAGGATCACCTCAGGAAGGTTCGCACAGTCCTAGTCTAGTGGTGGTGGGCCCTTGACCTCAATAGCAGAGTGAATGTAAATGCTTGAGATGATAAAAACATGCAGTACAAGGAATATAAATAAGATTACAAGGGGATACCAATCGACATAGCTAGCCATGTACTCTAAGGGGTACATTCCCTTATTGCAGCGAAATCCAACCGTGCGACTCCAAACAGTTACGAAACTGTTCGGGCAGAATCCTCGCCACTGCTGCTGCCTGATGCTGTCTGCCCGACGGTCCAGATCCTTTCGTAACCGTGTGACTCTTCGTGTCACCTCCGCCTGTCCGTCTCCGTTCTCGGTAAAGCGTGCTTCGATTGCTGCGGTGAGGAGTGCGTAATAGTGTTTCAACAATCACTATTCGTAAATGTAAAACTGCTCTTACAATTGCTGGACAACCCAAAATACTAGTTCTGTTATCTCAGACACATTAGAAAAGAAACACGAATGGTTAATATCATTCTTATATTGAGGTATGGATTGATAGAGTATTATTAGTACTATTATATACCAATAATTGAAATATATATGCGCATTTTCAACAAAAATATGTGTTCGGTTTTACGGGATGATGACTGGTATATTTACCCGTAATAACCATATTATATAAAATATGAACATGCAATAAAACCTGGTAAATCGTGCTGAACATACAAAGACTGCAGGTACTTGTGGTTGTTTATGGCTGAAGTTATTAAGTGCCTAACAACCCTTTCAGTGCAGTTTTGTGCTTTGCCGTTTTAGTGCACACACTAACGGTGTTACCTATATCACGTTATGTTGCCAGACCCATCCATCACAACCCTAAACTCTGTTCGGATTCAGGATTTGAGGGAAGTTGGGCAGCTCAATTCCAACAGCTTGGACAGCCTTGCCCGCGATCTCGGTCGCGGCAAAATTGGATGTCTGGACCCCAGGGACCACATGACAACGAGGTGCGATTTCCCCTAAACTATTGCACGGCTTGGCGTCTTCGAGGGTAGAACGGCTAATCCCCAACCACACATGTGTAAGCTGCAGTCGATTTGATGAGATTTTCATACACACGAGTATAAACACGTGTCATTGCTCGAAGGTTGATGTGGACGCAGGTGCAGATGAGTCGCAACTTCCCAGCCCGTCACGCGACGCGACTAATCATATCGGGAAACACAAAGAATATCCCACTCAGAATGGTCCAGCGTGTCACCTGCCCACATTGGGTTTGGATTGGAGCCCTGGAGACGGGACGGAATGGAGTGAAAGCCTCTCGGACTCTGAAAGGCCTGGTTCGCGTATTGTTGTGCAGAATTGCTGACGGAATTTGCGCAAGCAGATTGGCTGCGACGAAACAGGTCCACCCACTGTTGAGACCGATTACTCGCACGACGAACGCGACCATGTGCGACGGAAAGCGAATCATCATCAGAATACTTGGTCGCCAAGGGCCGAAGATGGACGCGCGTGGCGCGGAAGGAAGCGGGGTGGGGGGGAGGTAATGGAGTGTCACTGTGTGGTGTGGTGGTCCCCCCAAGCCTGCCCAACCAAGATGGGAACGGCAATGATGTGGCTGATCTGGAGGCCAGCTCAGTTGGGCTGTGTGTGAGGTCGCAGCGCGTACTCCCCCGTGCGCGCAACTGTCTGTGACCCCCACAACGCGCAGTCCACCTTGGCACCCCCCGCTACACGTATTTTTTCATCCCCGCGCAAGTGCTTCATCCCCCCCAGGTCCTTCAGCCCGACACCCCCGCAGCCTCTTCCCGCACACGCATTATCCCCCATCCCCAGGTTCATTGTTCATCCCCCTCGCCTGTCGTTGCTCCTCTTCTCACGTGTCTCCCATTTTCCCTTCCCTCGACCTGGCATTTCTACAAAAGGGCTTCACTCTCTCATCTCATCACATCACATTTCGTTCGATTCAGAACAGCCCCTGTTGTCGTTCTCTGCCCTGCTCACGTCTCTTTCCCTGTGCTCAAGCTTGACGAGTTCGGCACTGCCCTTTTTGTGCTCGTCGCTGCTCGCCAGCGCTCTCCGCGCTAGTGCTCCCATTCGCTTCCAACTCTTGTGGTTGCAGCATCTGTGGAGGTCATTGGACATTCGTTGCGAGAAGCCGCAAAGCTCCCTCCCTGCATTCGACCAGCCCAGATTCTGCATCTCCACGCAAGAAGGCCGCGCTCCGACAGCATTCGCCAGTTCGCTTTTCAAGCCCGCGTTCTTCGCACCCCTTATCTACTCATCATATTGCCCTGCAAAGGCTCTTCGCTGCTGCTGCTGCTGCTGCCTGCGATCACCTCCAACCAACTCCTATCTCCGGCTTCTTCCTTTTTTGTGTTACACTGCTCCGGCTAACGATCGAGGAAGATAATTTGTTCGAGTTACGAAGCGACTTTCTACAATACCGTTGGAGGCTACCATAATCGTATCATCATCAAGTGTCCATAGCTCGCCGCATACCTCAAGGTGCACCAGCCAGGACCGTCCTTCACGCACATGTCTTTTTCCTCCACCTCGCCTGCTTTCCGTTTTTCCAGAAGCCGATTTCTGTGTTCTACTCAACGGCAAGCGTGTTCCTCTTTCCCGCACAACCTCCATCGTATCTTCTCACACAACCACAGCCAGCGCTGCCAATCGCCCATGATAGCGCCTCGTGTACTGACACAGTAATTGCCGGAATATTCCAACATCAACGTCGTCCGCGCGTAAATCTTCACCGCGTCCATAGGTTCAAACCTATGGCTAACGCGTCCAAGTTCTTGATGGCGGCGGGGGCAGCGGTAGGGCGGTCGGGAGCCGTTCCGGCGCTTCTCTCGCGCGTCTTCCACGCTGCTGTCGCCAGCAGATCGCTCGCACCCATCGCGATCGCCACTGCGAACATCGCCACTTCCGCTTCCGTCTCTGCGCCTACCTCAGGCCCTACGTGTGCTCCCGTCGCCTCAAACAATTCGGTTTCCTCGAATGGTGAACCTGCTGGAGCTGCAAACGCGGGTATAAGCAGATCTGGCAGCTGGCGCAATTTGAGCACAGCCGCCGTAGCAGTTCAATACGAGGACAACGACGACGACGATGTCGATGGCGAATACGGCTGCGAAAAGCAGCCGCAGGGTTACCCGTCGCCGTTTCGCAGAGCGCAGCTGTGGCAGCAGCAACAACTGCAGTGGCAGCAACAAAAGCACACGCTTCAAGAACAGGAGGAGGTCGTTCCGACCTCCTTAGCGCAAAACCCTCATGACGATGCCACAGCACCCGACTCTTCGTTGTCCTCTCCCTCCTCCCCATCATCCTCCACTCCCTCCTCACTCTCGAGTGGCTGCATCTCCACCACTACCGAGCCCTTCCAGACGATGCCCTACCCGTCGTGGGAATCGTCGCACTCGTCGCACTCGTCGCATGGAAGTCGCAGGACGCAGTCCGGCGACGGATCGAGCGACAGCGGATTGGAGCACCGCGCGTTGCTCGTCGACGCTGCGGGAACCCTTGTAGAACCTAGCGAGCCAGTCACTAAGGTGTACGCGAGTCTGGGGCGCAAATACGGAGTGAAATACTCGGAGGATGAGATTCTGCAGCGGTACCGCCACGCGTATATCCAGCCATGGCGCAAGTCGATCCTGAGATACGAGGACGACGCGCGGCCGTTCTGGCAATACGTGGTTTCGGAGTCTACAGGCTGCAACCACCCGGATTACCTGGAGGAGCTGTACCAGTACTACACGACGAAGGAGGTACTTGCACCTTAACCCCAACGAGCTTGCTGCATGATGAATCGTGGATCGCTCGGTCTGCGCTGATTTCCCCCTTCCCCACCCCCCTCGCTTCCCCTCCTCTTCCCCCCTCTTCCCCCCCACCCCTCTCTCCTCCACCCTGTTTTTAACGATAAATTCGTTTTTTCATTGATTTCTACCCCCACTCATCATTTTTCTCCTGGTTCCCTCTTCTTTCCCTCTCACATCCACCTCTTCTTACTCTCCTCCCCTCTCTCCCCCCGTTCCCCCTCCCCTCATCTCTCCTCCTCGCCCCCTCAGGCATGGCGCCTCACAGACCCGCATGCCAAGGAGGCGTTCACCGCCATTCGCGACGCGGGGGTGAAGATAGCCGTTGTGTCCAACTTTGACACGCGCCTGCGCACCGTGCTCAAGGAGCTAGACTGCCACGACTGGTTCGACGCCATTGCAGTGTCCGCCGAGGTGCGCAGAAGTATTACGATGGGCTGCTTGTCGTGTGTTTTGCGTGCATATGTGTTTATCATGGTAGGGTGTGGTGCAGTGCCATGCCGATGTCGTGTCATAGCACGTGCATATCATGCATTGGATTGGGAATGGAGTGTGACCATAATTGTTTCTTCCCGTTTTCACATTGTCACTCCCTTCTTCCTTCTATCCACCCCGTATCTGTTTCTCAGATTCAAGCGGAGAAGCCCAACCCAGTGATATTCCACTCAGCCTGTGACCTAGTGGGTGTAGATCCACACCATGCGGTGCATGTGGGCGATGACAGGAGGAATGACCTCTGGGGAGCGAGGGATGCAGGTTGCTCCGCATGGCTATGGCAGGACGACGTGCATTCCTTTCACGATGTGGCCCGCAAGCTCGGAGTGCTTTTCCCTGGAGAGGAGGAGAGCCCCGAAGCGAATAAAAGGAGGATACCAAGGCCGCCTCGATGGGCTGATAGGCCCATGATTGCAGCAAATGGCCTCCAGTTTATGCGCCACTAATTGCTGCCACCACTGAGGGCTGTGTGGGCGTGCCTGTTTACTCAAGCAAGCAGAAGAAAAGCCCTCCCAAGATGAAGTTCATGCTCCCTGGTTATTCCCCTCCTCTTGCTGGCCTAGTTGCTCTTGTGTAGCATCCACACCGTGACTTTTCAAATATTCAAATAATTCAATAAAGAGCAGCTGGATGTTAAGCTTATACGATGAGGAAAGGCACTTACGTCCATGCCAAAATATGAACTTCCACATCTACTTCGCTCAGTGAGCTATTTGGTGACGAGGATGGCTTGCCAACCAATCAGCAGACTCCGCAGCTACCCGCAAAACTGATTGCCTTGCCCTTGCAGTCGTCCAGCCATTTGCTGAGAGGAGGTGCGAAATTCGGTACATGGGGTTGGGCCGAAGGCAGTCGCTTGTACTGTACTGTACACCCTCTTTCGCGCCACACTGTCATTGGCCATATTGACGGACCGGCTGTACTGACATCAATGTGTCCAGAATGGTCCCAGAACATACCATATAAACACATTTGCCGCACTCAACCGTACGCAAAAGCACGTTTGCTTCCATAAAACGTTGTGTACCGTTTCTCTGGAGTGGATTTGCCCGTCACCTACCTGGGGTTCCGTTGGAAGCACCAGATCGCTAGGGTCCAAGCAACAGTACGCACTGTAGAGAAAGAGGGTGTACCACTGCCCATGAAGACTGTCAACCGAATTGGAAGCTGGGTCTTCTTCTGAGGACATCGTATCCATGCTACTCTGCCAATCCGGGTGTTGTTTTAGCCAACCCCGGCGATTTGGGTCTTATTTATTACGATCCGGTTATTCCTGAAATGGATTTGCGGTACATGCCTGTGATTCTGGAATTGGTGGTTATAGCTCGTGGGTGTGCGAGTGCTGTGACGAATGGAGTCAACGAGTTAACGAGCAGCCGGCCCAGTCGTCACGCAAGCCCTCACAAAACACCCTGCTTGATCGCGAATATATTACCCGCATTTTACATGCAGATTAATTCGGGCTGCCCAAAATCGGGGACAAAAGCTGAAGTGGGATTTCACTACTGTGTACAGTACAATGCAGTGTGCTTGTGTGTGCAGCGTGAAAGAGAAGCATTCACCTGGCTGAAACTGGGGTCTGAAACGTGAACCGCGAACGTGACGATTGTCGGGAATTGGCAACAAAATCAAAACTTCAAACGGTATAGAATTTTATCGGAGTTTCCCAAAGCATTACAGTCCGGTTCTCAGCTGGACGGTTAGTTTCTGAAATTGGTCGCATTTCTGTCCTATCAATGCTCCTTCCTAACTTATCGGGCGCTAGTCTGTTTCGCGTTTCACATGTGGCTGCGGGGTTTTCACCAGATTACAGTTGCTCCATGCTCTCCGGCCGTTAGTCATGTACAGTACATTCTTCTGCGACAGAACACAACGGCAGCAGTACACCCTGTTTCTCAACGTTCGGACAATCGGGAGCCCCGGCTACAGTGCGAACGTGTGCTTGGATTTTGCGGGCTGGTGCTTACAACCAAACCCCAGGTAGGTGGCGGTCCAAGAGAACGATACACAACGGTTTATGAAAGAAACAATGCTATCGCGTACGGTTTATTGCGGCGAATTGTGCTTATATGCTATGTTCTGGGACCGTTTTGGACGCGTTGATGTCAGAATAAGCAGCATGTCCATACAGCGAATGTCAGTGTGGCGCGAAACAGGGTGTATTGGCTTCAAGCTTTTTATTCAGCAATAGTAACACGACAGTGAACTTGCCCGTCCGTCTTGTTCTGGAGCCATTTCCGTTTCCTTTTTTTACCCCCCACCTTCCATGCTCTTTCGATTACTCGACAGTTCTGCATTTCCGTTACCTCTCTCTGTTGCCGCTACGCACACTCGCGCCATAGCGGTTGCATTGACCTAGGACGGTAATCTTGCCGCTTATTAATTCCTAGCAATGTGATGAGTTGTGACGTAGGCTGACGTAGCCAGACACTAAGGCAGAGCCGTCACTGGCAGCGGCAGCGGCAGCTGCGGCGGCGGCTGCGGAGGCGTCCGAAGCCGCGGTCCCGCCTCCCCTGGTTATCATGACAGCGCACCGCAAGGGGTCCTCCGCGCGCCCTTCCGCCACGCTCCGCGGAAGCGCGAGCGGCGGGGGAAGCCCCGCGGGGGCGTTCGTGTGCGCTGCTCCGGATATCGCATCTGGGGTTGGCGGCTCGCCTAGTAGCAGAGGTTCCGCAAATGGCGGCGGGAATGGCGGAGGCAGCAGTAACGGGAATGGGAATGCGGGCGGTGGTGGTGGTAATTCCGGTGCCAGTGGTGGTGCTGCTGCTGGTGGTGGTGGTGGCAGTGGGTTGTCTGCGTCTGGGACAACACCTGGGAAGGGGAGATGGAGTATATGCCAGCAGTTACCTGTGATTCTACTAACGGCTACTAATATGATAATTATTTGCATGCTGTACAGGTAATCTTCGATCATGTTTTTTTTATTTATTTATTTATTTATTTATTTATTTATTTTCTTGTGTGTGTCGGCGTGGTTTCATTGTTTGCTGATAGGTTTTTCCGGCTTACACAATCATGACGATGTTCGTTCGCATGCACATATCACATGTCGCATTTCACATCCTCACTTGGGATGGGAATGTCACATGTACATGCAGCTAATCATGGGTTCCCTCCCTCCCATCCTCTCCCCTCCTCTCCCATCCCCTGTCTCGCCTGCCCTACCTTCACCCCTTGTTCTCCCCTCCCCTCCCCCTCCCCCTCCCTCCTTTCCTTCCCACCCCTCCCTCCCCTCTGGCAGTGATATCTCCCACCATCACTCAGACGACTCCATTTACCCCGACGAACCATCCTCCTTCTCCCTCTCCTCCCACTCCCACGCACACTCGCACCACCGCCCGAACCTGCGGCACCGACTGCAACAAGACGCACTAGACTTGCAAGACAGTGGCTTGCTGTTAGATGAGAGGGATGACGCAGGGGATAGCAGCAGCGACCGTTTGAAGAGGCTGGGGAATGGTGATGCTGACGTGGAGGGACAAAAGGCGTTGGATCGGGATCGGGATGGATTGGTCGGCTGGGATGATGAGGAGGAGAAGGGTGTTGGATTGAGGAAGAGAGGGAAGGGAGAGGGGGAGGTGAAGGGGGGTGAGGAAGGGGAGGTGGGGAAGAGGTGGGGGGAGGGCGAAGGGGAATTGGAGGATGGTGATGGAGAGGAGTATGGGGGGAAAGAGGGAAAGAAACGGAGGGGCAAGAGTCGGAAGAAGAGGAGGAGAAGGAGGAGGAGGAGGCAGAAGGCAGATGGTCGAAACGAAGACAGAATAGATGATGATGGGAAGGAAATTGATGGAGGTGCAGCTGGAAGCTCAGCCGCAGCAGGTGATGTTTCAGGTGATTTTTCAGGTGGTGGTCCAGGGTCAGAAAGAGGACAAGACAATCCGGTTGGGAGAGAAAGAACTAGGAGAAAATCGAAGAAAAAACTTTCTGAGGGAGACGAAGAAGAGGTGGACGGGGAGAGAGCAACAGAGTTGAACGAGGAGGGACAAGGGGGGGAAATGAGGGATGGGGGAGGGTATAGGGAATTGGATGGCGAAGGGGGGAACGGGGAAGCAAAGGAAAGAGATGATGAAGGGGAGAGAGGCTGGGAGGCAGGAGGAGAGAGAGGAGGAGGCAGGGAAGCGATTGAAGACAATATGGAAGGGAAAAGAGAAATGGGGGGGGATAGAAGTCAGAGGATATGGGAGCAGGGGAAAGGTGAGGGCTTAAGGATGGAAAGAGGGGTTGGGAAAGCGAGTAAGGGAGGAGAGGATGGGTTGATGGCAGAAGGGAGGAGACCTGGGGAGGAGAGGAGGAGCGGGGAGGAGGAGAGGAGGAACGGAAAGGTGGGCCCTTTGCAAGGAGACTTCGTTAAGGGGGGTGGGGGAGGAGAGGTAGAGGGGAGAGGCGTGCAAGCGGTTGGTGGGAACATGCATGGGGATGTAGCGAGGGAGGGTGGTAGCGTCGGTGGAATGAGACAAGTCATAGAGCGGCAGAGGGAGCAGCAGAAGCAACAAGGGGGGCCGCAACAGAAGCAGCTGGGACAGGAGCAGCAGAGGGAGCCGGTTCAGCAAAGCGAGAAGCAGTATACAGGGGAGCATCAGGTGCAAGAGAAACAGAAGGAGCAGAGGCAGCAGCAGAAGCGGGAGCAAGGCAGGGAGGGAAATAGCAGAGGGGGATCAGAAGGAAGAGAAGGGCGTGTGCAGAATGGGTCAGATAGGGGGTCTTTCTCTTCCCCACTGCTCTCAAGCCCCTCTCTCCCTTCACCTTCCCGTTCTTCTCCCACGCTCCCTCCTGCTCCTCCTGCTCCTCCTGCTCCTCCGCTCCACACCCCTCTTCCATCCCTCACCTCTGCTTCTACAAAATCCTCTTCTCCCCACACAATCCCCTCTCCTTCCCAAGCCTCCGCGCTGTCTCCTCCTTCCCCATCCCTCTCCTCCCCCCGTTCGCGCCTCGCTCCCCCATCCTCGCACTCTCCCCCTCCTCCTTCCCCCCACTTCCCCTCTTTGTCTCTCTCCCCTTCTCTTTCAGTCCCACCACCCTCGTTGATAACCCAATCGGGAAGGGCTCTTTCCCCCCCTTCCCTTTCCACCAGCAAGGGGGGTCAGGGAGGGAACCAGCAGCACCTGCAGCAGAATCGACAACAGCAACAGAATCAGAAGCAGAATGAGAAGAAGAAAGAGGCAAAGGAAATGCACCAGCAGGGGCAGAGTCGGCAGAAGAATAACCAAGAGAATGTGCAGCAGAAGCTGCACCAACAGCAGCAGAAGAAGCAGCGTGAGCAGCGGCAGCAGGGGAGCAGCAAGGGAGGAGGAGTTTCGACTGAGCCTGCGTGGACTAAAGTAAGAGCTTCCCTGTATCAGTTAGCGTGGAGTGAAATCTTCCTGCTCTGCTCGTCTCCGCATCTAAGCTGCCAACCTGCATTGTTTTGTTTTGTTTTTTTTTGTTTGATTGTTTGTTTGTTTGTTTGTTTTTCCGATTTCCTTTCCCTCCACTGCCCCCCTCTCCCTTCTTGGCCGTTTTCCTACTTTCGCCTGTGGTTCCCCCTAACCCTTCAGACCCAAGCCCACCACCCCTGGTCTGTTTTTTAAGGCATGGAGGCACCTTAAAACTTTCTTCCCTCTCTTCTCTCAGTCACTCTTTATCTTTCGCTCCCTCCCTTCCTCTCTCATCCCCCTCCCCTCCCGCCTCCCACCTCCATACCACTGCAGAGTGGCTTTGTGCTATTCAGCGGCTACCGTGCATCCATGGACTCATTCGTTGCTATCGAGGTTTGAGACGTCTCTTCATCTCTTCATCTCTCCCTCCCTTTCCTCCTACCTCCCACCCACCCACCACCCCAGAGTGGCTTTGTTCTATTCAGCGGCTACCGTGCATCCATGGACTCATTCGTTGCCATCGAGGTTTGAGACGTCTCTTCATCTCTCCCTCCCTCTCTCCTCCCTCCCTTCCGCCCACCACCCCAGAGTGGCTTTGTGCTATTCAGCGGCTACCGTGTATCCATGGACTCATTCGTTGCTATCGATGTTCGTCTCTTCATCTCTCCCTCCCTTTCCTCCTACCTCCCACCCACCCACCATTGCAGAGCGGCTTTGTTCTATTCAGCGGCTACCGTGCATCCATGGACTCATTCGTTGCCATTGGCCTGCACCATATGGGCAACAGCAGCACCACCACCACCAGCACCAGCAGCACCACCAGCACCACCACCAGCAGCACCACCAGCACCACCATGCTCCAAGCCCAATCATGCGAGTACGTGTGAGCTGGGTATAATTGAAAGCTCCTATGCTCGAGGTATCTAGTTTTGATGCGCCTCATAACAATTAGGCCTCCAGGGCAGTAGCAGTAGTACCACAAGCACGCCCGTGCCCACTCTTGCAAGTGTGTGTGTGTGTGTGTGTGTGTGTGTGTGTGTGTGTGTGTGTGTGTGTGTGTGAGCTGTGCTGCGTGTAGCCGAGTTGAGAGAGGGAGAGGCGCCCCAAAAGGCACTCTGAACGTCCAACAACGTGTGTCTAATCATGTGCCCGATGCTCCCCAATCGGTTTCTTCCCGCCTCTCTTTCCCCTCTCACCCCGACCAGGTGGGTGGAGAAGAATGGAGACCGGCATGTGGGTCGAGTCACGGTAAAGCATCCATCTCACGCCCACCCACCGAAACACCTGCAATCCGCCACCACCACTACTGCTGGCGCTGCCGCTGCTGCCGGCAAGCTCCCAGCAGCAGCAGGAGCCAAGGGATCAGCAGCACTAGCAGCAGGCGGCAGCGGCAGTGGCGGCAATGGCGGCAGTGGGGCTAGTGGGGCTAGTGGGGCTAGTGGGGCTAGTGCAGTTGCGACAGCAGAGACGGTGGTGCTGGTGTGTTTGCTGGGAGAGGAGGCGAGTCTTCACACGGGTGGGCAGCTGCGCATGGAGGTGAATGGAGAGGACGTGCTGGTGTATGAGGAGGAGGGCAACCAGGGGTTCCGCCACAGATTCGGCGTGAGTTCTTGATTTGATATGATTCGATTCAGTTTGGCTGCAATACTATCTGATTTTTGTTTTTAGATTTTTTTATTTTTCTTTTTTCTGATTCGTTTTCAGGTGCCTCAGAATTGTGTCACTTGTGCTTGCTCTTGCACCTCCCCGTCTCCTCTTCTCTTCCCTCCTCATTACTCTCCTCTCTTCCCTCCTCTCGTCCCTCCTTTCTTCCCTCCTCACTTCTCCTCTTGCCTCCTCCTCCTTCCGCTCCCTGCCCAGGACGAGGAGACGCTGATCTACAATCCCATGTACTGCAGCACGCCCATCCACCCCCCTCAGGCCCTCCCCACCGCCAGGACGAGGAGACGCTGATCTACAACCTCATGTACTGCAGCACGCCCATTCATCCATGCTGCTCTGCTCTCACACTGCGTGCACTCTCCTCTCTCTTCCCCTGTCCCCTCCCCACCCACTTCCTCCCCAGGACGAGGAGACGCTGATCTACAATCTCATGTACTGCAGCACGCCCATCCATGTGGCCGTGCATGCTGTCAGATTCGCGCAGTGGCTCAACTTCCACCGCACCGTGCACCACATGAGTCACGGTGGGGGAGAGGACATGTGAGGCATAGGGAGAGAGGGAGGGAGTTTCACCGCGTGAGCCACCACGTGCTGTTGCGGTAGGCGTTTATTTGAAGTATAAGACTGCACTGCACCGTGCCCGCTGTCAGATTCGCGCAATGGCTCAACTTCCACCGCACCGTGCACCATGTGAGTGAGGCATGGAGAGGGAGAGAGTGCACCGTGTGAGTGAGGCACGTAGGGAGTTGTCAACGTGAGGCATTGAGAGAGAGGGGTTTCAGCATGTGAGCCACCGTCCTGCTGTAGATCTTTTTATTTGATTAATCTACCTGCACCTCACTGCACCTCGCTGCACCTCGCTGCACCGTGTGAGGGCTGCTGGGGGTTAGGACGAGAGAGAGGGGTGGGGAGTTCGAGATAGGGAGGGTGTAAAGCACAGAAAAGGCGCCTCAGTTCAAGACAACCATAAGGCAGGACACTCCTTAAAGCTTGATCATGTCACCATCCATCCACCCCAACCTCCATCCTCCCGTTTCCATCTTTCCCCATTTCCCCACCTTCACCCCCCTTGCCCGGCCTGTCCACCCCGTCCCCCATTTGTCTTTCCTATTTGCCACCTTCCCCTTTCTCCCGTCTCTTCCCCCCCGTCCTTTCCCCGTTCCCCGCGTGCCAGGTGGACTATTTCCAGCTGTACGATGCGGGCGGCGTGGAGGGGCGGCTGCTGCAGCAGCTGGCGCCCGCCATAGAGGCGCGGGCAGCGGCAGTCATGGACATGCGCGCCGTGGCAGGGCGGGATGGCACGGCGCATGGGCAGGTGGGTGGGAGCATGGGCAGGGCAGGTGGGCGCATGCGGTGTGCTTGCTTCATCTGCTGCAGCAGCTGGCGCCGGCCATAGAGGCGCGGGCAGCGGCCGTGATGGACATGCGCGCCGTGGCAGGGCGGGATGGGATGGCGCATGGGCAGGTGGGTGCATGGACGGGTGGGTGCATGGGTAGGCTGGAGGGGTGAGTGCATGGGCAGGGAAGATGGGTGCATTTGGTCTCCGTCTGCCGGCCATAGAGGCGAGAGCAGCAGCAGTCATGGACATGCGTGCCGTGGCAGGGCGGGATGGCACGGCACATGGGCAGGTGGGAAGAAGGGCAGGTGGGAAGAAGGGCAGGTGGGAAGAAGGGCAGGTGGGAAGAGGGGCAGGTGGGAAGAAGGGCAGGAAGGAAGAAGGGCAGGTGGGAGGAAGGGCAGGTGGAAGGAAGGGCAGGTGGGAAGAAGGGCAGGTGGGAGGAAGGGCAGGTGGGTGCGGGGCAGGTGGGTGCACCACGCTGTGCTTTTCATGCCTCATCCAACCAACCTGCTTTCCAATCAACCAACCTGCCCCACTCCCCTCACCCCTTACTCCCTCTCCTCCCTTTCCCCAATTCCCCCCCTTTTCCCAATTTTTTTAAATTCCCCCCCAACCTTCGTCTCCGCTTCCCCCTTCCCTCTCACCTTTCCTCCCCGCCTTCCCCCATTCTCTCCCTAACCACCTAACCACCAGCTACTGGCGTTCCATGACTGTCTGTACTTTGCGCGCACGGCAGCGCGCTGGGCGCTCTTCCTGCATCCTGACGAATACCTGCTGGTGCAGCAGCCGCCGCACTCCATCGCTCACGTGCTTGCGCTGCACCAGGTGGGTGGGTGGGTGTGGCCATGTGGGTGTGGGTGTGTGTGTGTGTGTGGTTGCTATTTCTCCATGATGAGTGTGTGAGTCACAGGATGCAGCCTCTCATGTGAGTACCTGCTGGTGCAGCAGCCGCCACACTCCATCGCCCACGTGCTTGCGCTGCACCAGGTGGGATGGGATGTGCGGGTGGGTGTGTGGGAAATTGAGTGTGCGTGTGTGTGGGTGTGTGGGTGCTGCACGCATGTTACTTCAAGAATAGGTGTGCATGCAAATGCGATCCTCTCAATGTTCCATGGTATCCCTCCCCTCCTTCCTCCTCCCCCCACCCCGCACAATCTCTCCCCTCTCCTTCCCCCCTCCTCTTTCACCGCCCCCAGCACCTTTGCAGTGTTCCACTCCTTCACAGACGCATGGCCCCGCTCCTCCTGTTTTTTATTCGACTAAAAAATCCCAAACCCAACCACCCCCTTCCCCTTCCCCGCTTCCCCCCACCCCGCCCCCCTCCTTCTCCCCCCACCCCATCCTGTCCTCCATCCCCCCTCAGCAATCCTCGCACGTCACCTTTGGAGCGTTTCGCTTCCTCACAGACACATGCCCTCGCATCACCTCCCATGTCAACGCTCTCACCCTTCCCACACACGGCCAAGGCCAGCAGCACGGTCAAGGGCAGGGGAAGGGGAAGGGAGATAGAACGGCAGGAGGCATGGCAACAGCAACAGGGGGAAGGAGAGGGGAGGGCGAGGGGGAGGGATGGGCGGTGGAGGGGATGGTATGGAGGGAGGCGGAACCCGCATGCCGAAACACATCGCAGTACCCGGATAGAAGCATGTGCCTGGAGGGAGTGGGGCAGCGCAAATTTGTGGTCGATCCCAGGCGAACACACATGCTGGCTGTGAGTGCATATTCTCTTTTAGATCTATAATAAAAAAACCATGTAACCCGGAAGGGGTGGGGCAGCACAAATTTGTGGTGGATCCCAGGCGAACACACATGCTGGCTGTGAGTGCATGCTCTCTTTCAGATTGATGATTACAAAACCCTGTAACTTGGAGGGAGTGGGGCAGTGCAAGTTTGTCGTGGACCCCAGGCGAACACACATGCTGGCTGTGAGTGCATGCTCTCTTTCAGATTGATGATTACAATACCCTGTAACTTGGAGGGAGTGGGGCAGCGCAAGTCTGTGGTGGATCCCAGGCGAACACACATGCTGGCTGTGAGTGCATGCAAGCACGTGCTCGTGTTGCTTTGAGAATTCTCAATAGTGATGCAAGCGGATTTGTGTCGTAGCTGGTCTCGCCGTTTGTGCGAACAAGCACTCACTCGTACCCCTGCTGTGCTGCTCTTGCTGCTCCATCGGGCTTTCCGGAGGCAGAGCAGGTGTAGAAAACAGGAATGTCAGTGCTCATCGTATAACATTCAGCACTGGAAAGAAGCAACAGTCACCATACACCCACCCTCCTTCGAAACCCCATGCAGGTGCACAAGGTGTTAGAGCCCAGGGCAGGGGAGGTGAATCTGCCCACCACAGCAGTGCACATCAGTCACTTCCCCAGCCTCACCTCTCGCCACCTGCGCCCCTGTGCTAAGACCCTCTCATCAGAGGAAGTTTCTGTGCGGCGTTTGGTGCTCGATAGCTCCGTTGCTGACCTGGCTCGGGCTGTTCGTGTGGCTGCAGAGACTGTGGCTGCTGCTGCGCGTGGCGCTGGTGGTGCTGCTGGTGGTGCTGCTGGTGTTGCCAGTGCTGGTGCTGCTGTTGCTGCTGCTGCTGCTGGTGTTGCTGGTGTTGGTGCTGGTGGTGCTGGTGCTCGTGGCGCCGTTGGTGCTGGTGCTGGTAGTAGTGTTTCCAATGGTGTTGCCGTGGCGGCCAGTTAAACACTGATGCACACCATAGCCTCTAACAAACAACTCCTAACACACCAGCACCAGCAGTCTTTTACCAGCACCACAGCTTCCACTCATTGTGCCCGAAAACTCTTTATCTTGACAACGAGTCAACGACAAGCCAGTCCCCTCGTCTCACCGAGGACGGATTCGGTACGGCACAAAGAGGAATATGACCCTCCATGTCGATTCAATTACTTACCTAGGTGTGTTGCCTAACTTGCTCACTCTTGGAAGATGCAGCAGATGATACGGTATGCCCTTCATGAGCCCTGTTGTGCTGCTGCACTGCCGTCTAACAACCTGTCTGTCTGTTTTTACGGTAGTATGGTACATTACCTATATGGCCTACAGTATTCAAGCCTTTGGTGTGTAGTGTCACAGTATAGTACCACACTAGCATTTCCTAAAGATCCAGGTGTCAGTGCCAGGATTATTCAGGTTCTATTACGGTGCTCAAATCACATTTGCATACAGAAACAGTGTTAAAACAAAGCAATTACTGGTACTACATTATCATTCCTGCAAGTTTCTACATTCTACTGGTACCTAGGAAAAAAGAACAGCAGGAAGTCGAACAGTCAGAAGGGGACATCACAGTGGATCAAATCTCACTTGTGAGCACCATGACAAATCTCACTGATTGGACTGTTGAACCACACACCAAGCCTCAAGTCATTGCCTCATTGCCCTAGCCAATACCAACCCCATCCATCACCAACACCCCCATGCCCATCCCCATGCCCATCCCCACCCCCATGCCCATCCCCATGCCCATGCCCATGCCGATGCCGATGCCGATGCCGATGCCCATGCCCATGCCCATGCCCATGCCCATGCCCATGCCCATGCCCATGCCCATGCCCATGCCCATGCCCATGCCCATGCCCATGCCCATCCCCATCCCCATCCCCATCCCCATGCCCATCCCCATCCCCATCCTCCAGCACATCAGTCACGATTACCATCGCCAGCAGCAGCATCAGCAGCAAGCCAGACAATCACCATAAATGCATTCTCCACTGTTGTCCTTCAAAACACTGCCCTTACTTTACATCCTCAATTTGCTCATCTGCCTCATACCACGCATCAGCGTCAGCAGCACCACTAGCATCAGCACCAGCACTGCCAGTAACCTTGTCCTCACCAATAGCATCCGCATTACCCTTAGCATCTGCAGCAGCATCACGAGCCACGACAAGATCGGCAGCAGCAGCAGCAGCAGCAGGATCAGCGTCAGCTGCATCAGCAGCAGTAGCAGTATCATCGGCGGCAGCATCAACAGCATCAGCAGCAGCAGTATCAGCATCAGCAACACCAGCAGCAGCAGTATCAGCAGCAGCAGCAGTATCAGCAGCAGCAGCATCAACAGCAGCAGCAGCAGTATCAGTATCAGCAGCATCAGCGTCAGCAGCAGCACCAGCGTCAGCAGCATTGCCAGCCGCATAGGCAGCTTCAGCAGCAGTGGCAGCTGCACCAGCAGCAGCAGCATCAGAAGCAGTAATATCAGCATTGGCAGCAGCAGCAGCAGCAGCAGCAGTATCAGCATCATCAACCGCAGCAGCATCGGCCTCTTCAGCAGCAGTGGCAGCTGCATCCGCAGCAGCAAAATTAGCCTCAGCAGCAGCACCATCAGAAACAGCAGCAGCATCAGCAGCAGCAGCAGCACCGGCAGCAGCAGAAGCAGCAGCTTCACCATCACCATCGCCCTTCACAGCTTCAACTCCTTCACACTCAACCTCTTTCTCACTCTCAACCTCTTTCTCACTCTCAACCTCTTTCTCACTCTCAACCTCTTTCTCACTCCTCGACTCGCCATTCCTCGTTTCCTCCTCTTCGCCACCTCCTCCTCCTTCCTCAACTTCCACATGCTCTTCCTCCATTCCCCCTGTCACCCCCTTCACTTCCCCGTTCGCCTTCCCCTCATCCTTCCCCTCTCCCGCTTGCCCGCACTCCTCACCCTCTGCCCCTGCCATCCCTTCCATCGACACCTTTTCCCCATCTCCAACACCCACCTCACCAGAAACACCACCAGCATCCTGCACATTCTCGTCTCCCTCGCCCTCCTCTCTCTTGCTCTTCGCTCCCTCGTACCCATCCTCACCTTTGTTCACCCCATCATCATCCCTCTCCCCATCCTTTCCCTCCACCTCTTTCTCCCCACCCTCTGCAGCGTTCCTCTTGGCTTCCTGTGCGCCTCCTTCCCTGCCCTCCTCTTCTGCTCCCCCAAAGGCATCTGCAGCAGCGTCAGCACCGGCAGCAGCAGCACCGGCAGCAGCAGCACCAGCAGCATCAGCACCGGCAGCAGCAGCACCAGCAGCGTCAGCACCAGAAGCGTCGGCACCAGCAGCATCAGCACAAGCTTGCTCATTCTTCCCTTCATCAGCTTTGCTCTCCCTTTCCTCCGTAACCATTCTCTCACCCGCCTCCTCCTGCTGCCGTCCACCCTCCTCATTCTCCTCATCATCATCCTCCCCAAAAATCATCAGTGTTGTTCTCTGCCCCTTGCCTTCCTCCATCTCCTCCTCTCTCCTCCCCTCAATATCTCCTTCCTTTGCAAGCTCCCTCCCCTCCCCTCCACCCTCCCCTTCCCCCACATCACGCGCGTCGACAACAACAAGGGACGTCCTAGCACAACCACTGCACACATCCACAAACCATCCTTCTTTCAATCTTCTCCTCTCGCCTTCTACTGACATACCAGCAGCACCGGCAGCAGTGGCAGAACCAGCAGTGGCAGAACCAGTAGCAGCAGCAGAGGCACTTCCTTGAGACAACCTACACCGTAACAGTCGCACACGCCACTGCTTTCTGTTCTCTCCTCCCTCCTCCCCCTCCACCCTCCCCACTTTCCTCTGTAACTCCATCTCTCCTTTATCCCTCCCCCTCTTCCCCAATTTCACCCCAGAGCCCCCCCCCCCACCTCCTACCACTCCCATTCCACCTCTGTCTATCCTCCTCGCAACCCCCCCCGCTCCCTCCTTCCCATCCTCCTCCCTGCCTCTCTTCCTCCCATCCTCCACCTTTGCACCCTTCTCTCGCCCCTTCACTCCTTTCAGTGCTGCAGCAGCAGCAGCTTCAGCTGCATTAACCCGCTTCCAAGAAGCACCAGCAGCCACTTCAGCACCCCTTTTAACCCCTGCCAACCCCTTACTTTCCTCTGCTTTACCCGCCGCCCCTCCTTCCTTCACCGACCCACCCTCTTTCTTCCCAGACTTGCGCCGTGGACTTGTTACAGCCTCCACCTTCCCTTCTTCCATCTTAGTAGCCTTTTTGACATTCTCCCCGGGGAAGACAATACGGTTGAACACACTTACCTGCTGCTGTTTTGAGTTCCGCCGGAAGAGAGCAATGAGGGTTGATACCTGATCAAGCACAAAAGGATCGTGAAGTTGATCAAAACGGGGTTGACAGAGGAACGCAGCAGCAGCTTATAGATAGGCCACATTTTTCCTAAGGCGCATGGAAAATCGTCTCGAGTTTCAAGGCGCCTCACAACTTTGTTTCAAAGACCGCAGCAGCTTGGTGAGAGAGGTCACATCAGTAATAAGCGAAGAGCGTTTTTACACAATTCAACTGCAATAGTAGACGGGTCATGGCAGAGGGAAATAATGTAGAGTGGTATTGTTCAAGATTGCTTAGGATGGCATGGTATAGTCAAAGAGAAGGGCGGTGGGAGGAGCGGGAGAGACGGCGAGGAGGGAGAGAAGGAGAGAGAAGAAACGGAGGGAGCGAGAAGGTGAGCATCAGATGCGCACCTGTTGGTCTGTGAGAGTGAATGAGTATTTGTGGTGTTTGTAAACATTGTCCCTTATAGCAGCCTTGAACTCTGCCTCCTTGAGTGCGGGAAACTCCTCCTCCACCTCAAAACGCACCTGCTTGGGTTACATTCGTGCAGACACACATGCACACAGACATGCACACACACATGCACGCATCCAGACACACGCACAGTCGCGCGCAGCCAAGTGCACACACACGCATACACACCCAAGTGCACATGCATCACACGTGAATCAACCACAAGCACATGTGTGCATGAACATATATACGCACATGCATACATGCACACATGAACACATGCACATCCACATACCCACATGCAAATCAATGAGTCAAGAAATCGAAACACTCTGAAAGTGCGAGACAAATGCATCAGCCAGGTAACCAGGGGAGGAACGAATCCCTCACTGCAACTACAAACAAACCACACGCAACGAGCGGAAAAAACGACATCCTCTTGGTGCTTTGTTCTCATACTCCAATAAACCCTGAAAATATCAAATGTCCACATCCATGCCCATCCCCACAGCCAATGCCATGACCACCCTGACCCCTCCCCATGCAACTTCTTATCCCACACCAAACCCAGGAAGAGAGCGCTTGCGTCGCTTCTGAGAGAGAGTGCTCACCACACGCTGGCCCCCTATTTTCCCCATCTCACACACGCACCCACGCCCCTCACAAGCACCCACCTGCCAGGGGAAGCGGCCTTGCCACGCGTCCTTCACCAATGCGCAGCCGCCCTTCCCGCGCGCAACATACACCCCGTGCATCACGCGATCTTCAAAATTGAACAGGAACAGGCGCGTGCCCTTCTCTATGCGCTCAATTTCACGGCAGTGAGTGGACGTGCTGCCGAACAGCCCCCGGTCGTAGCACTCTTGCTTTGTGAGGTTGGTGCAGCCGAAAATGTACCCAGGAAGGGCGTTAGAGCTGGATTTATCGCCGCCTTTCTCCTTGCCCTTCTCCTTCTCCTTATCCTTATCTTTTGCCTTCTCCTTCTCTGTAGCCTTCTCTCGCTCCTTGGTTGTTCCCTTGTCATCGAGCCGCTCCTTCACTGTCTGCTTCTCCTTCGCCTTTTCCTTGTCTTTCTCCTTATCTTTCTCCTTCTCATTCTGCTTCTGCTTCTGCTTCTCCTTCTCCTTCTCGGTCCCCTTCTCCGTTTCCTTCTGCTTGTCCTTCTCCTCCTTATACTTCAGCCTATCCTGTAGCTTACTGGCATTCCCCTGCTTGTCCTTATCTTTCGTTCTCTCATCCTTCTCATTCGCCCTCTCCTTCTCCTTCTGACTCTCTCGCCGCCCCTCCTTCTCCTTTTGTGCCTGCCGCACTTTCTCCCGCTCTTTCTCACGAATCTTCTCTCTCTCCTTCTCCCTCTCCTGATCCCTGACCCTATCCCTGTCCCTCAGCCTTTCCCTATCTCTCTCCTTCATTCTCTCCCTCTCTCTCTCCCTGTCTTTCTCCCGCCCGTGCTCCCTCTCCCTCTCTCTTTCCCACTCCCGTCTCCTCTCCCCAACCCTATCCATCCTGCCACTCGCACCAGTCATATCCACATGCACAACGCGACCATACTCAGCAGCCTCAACTCTTCCCCCCCCATGGCCCTGAACAGCCCGCACATCCGCATACCCCGGCTGCCCCGGAAACAGGGTCACAGGAACAACCGTCCTCTGCCCACCTTGCTCCCGACCTCCTTCCCCTGGCCCTTGCGGAGACGCTCGGGCCGTGATGCGAACCGTTCTTGTGGGAAGAGCAGGAGAGTGGGTGGAGGTTGGGAGAGACCCGCCAAAGTCTGGTTGCTGCCCAGGCACCTGATGGGGCTGATACGCGGGAAACCCAACCCTACCAGCACCATCACCAGCACCAGCGCTACCAGCGGCAGTGGCAGCACCTGCGGCAGCAGCTGCTGGCATAGCCGGGTGTTGAGCGTGGCCCGGGGCAAGGAGCATATGAGGATGCATGTGGGAGGGTTGCAGGTGGGGGGGAGGGGCGGTGGCACCGTAAACCACATGTTGTGCTGGGTGCCGGTTAGGGAAGACAAGCTGCGGCGCACCAGGAGCAGCAGCAGCAGAAGGAGCAGCCCCAGCAGCAGCATCAGGCGCAGGAACCGCTGAAGCAGCCACAGCAGGAGCAGGGACAAAGGCAGGGCCAGGAGCAGGAGTAGGGGCAGCAGCAGGGGCTGCAGCAGGAGGAGCCGAAGCCACATAGACCAGTTTGACGCCAGTCCCATCGTAGATATGCATAGGGATGCCCATGCCCGCTGGTACAATATGAACCGGCTTGCCTGGCTCAAGCATGCCAGGCATGCCTGCTGCTTGGAGCCCTCCCACTTGCCCATAGGCCATCGCTGCGTTTGCAGGCTGCGTGTTTGATCCTGGAGCAGCAGAGTAAATCATTGATGGTGGCAGCTGGTGGGGAGCGTGCGAAACGGAAACAGGAGCAGCAGCAGGAGCAGTGGTACCAGCAGCAGCAGGGGCAGCAGTGCCTGTGGGTGCTGTGGCTGAAGCGCCGTACTGCTGCTGCGGAGGAGCGTATCTCGTTGCGTCCAGGTTCGATGGATCATACTGCGGACCCTGACCCAGTCCAGAACGCAGAGCATATGTCATTGGAGCCATGTCCTGCAGCAACCGCTCCTCCTCGCTCTGCCTCTGCTGCCACTGCTGCATCTCCAGCTCTCTTCCCCTGTCTCTCCCCATATCTCTCTCTTTCTCCTTCTCAATATGCCTCTCCCTCTCCTTCAACCTCTCCCATTCCCTCACCCTCTCCCTTTCTCTCTCCGACGCTCTCTCCCTTTCTCTCTCCCTCTCCCTCTCCATCTCCCTCCCCCTCTCCATCTCCCTCCCCCTCTCCAGCTCCCTCCCCCTCTCCATCTCCCTCCCCCTCTCCCTCTCCCGCTCCCTCTCCCATTCACCCACGCCCCTCACGACACCTCCCTCTCTTCCGCCCACACCACTTCTACCACCAACATACCCAACATCACTTCTCCCCCGCTCTCTCTCCTCCCCCCTCCACCCCTCCCTCCTGCTGCCCCCAGCCACTTCCCTCTCCTGAAGAGCAGCCGCAGCAGCAACCCGCGCTCTATCCCCTGAAACCCCACCACCCCCTCCACCCCCACGCTCCTGCCACGGCAACAGTGCCACCTGTTCCTGCTGCGGCAGCTGCTGATGCCGGTGCTGCTGCGGTTCCTGCTGCGGCAGCTGCTGGTGCCGGTGATGCTGTTGCTGCAGCAGCTGCTGGTGCCGATGCTGTTGCTGCTCCTCCTGCTGGTGCCTGTGATGCTGTTGCTGTTGCTCCTGCTGCTGGTTGTACTGCCTTGGTTGGTCCACTGGGTGAAGAAACCGTTCTCCTCTCACCTGCAGGTGCCCCTCCCTCTCGCTCCTGTTGCTTTTATCAGCCCTTCCCTGCTGCTCATCCCTCTCGTGCCATGAGCCTGAGCCCGAAGACCACCTGTAGCTGCTAGGGCCACTCATGGTGGAAACCGGATGGCTTTGACTATCAGGATTGAGTGTCAGTGTGGACGGCGGGTGGTTGTATCTATAAGTCGATGAGCTGGCGGACGGACGGACGGACGGACGGACGGACGGTAGGACGGTAGGACGGACGGACGAAGGGTGGGCAGCTTGACAGCCTACTGGCGCGCCTGTCAGCTAGATAGATTGCGGTCGGGATGAATGTATGGAGCAGTAGCGCTTCGACTTCTGTCAATTACAGCGGGTTGATAAGGGCAGTGTGTGGAACAAGCAGCTGGGTACCGCTCTTTAGCTCCGAACAAGCCCAAGATTTTGATGATTACCGGACCAGTACCGGAAACTTTTTAAGAACTCCGACGAGTTTAGATGATGAATCTTGAGCGCCTCTTGTTGACCTCGGACTATAGCAGCTCGGACCCCCAGGCACGAGAGGCAACGTAGATTGCCGGCGAGGGAGGTGGGAGGGTGGGGGTCAAGACCCAGCTCAACAAAACGGCCTTCAGGGATAGCCCTAGGGTTGTGATCCAACGGCCACTTGGACCAGCTCACAAGCTGCTGCCCACCAATGCTGCCACCGATGCTGCCGATGCTGCCGATGCCGCTGCCGCTGCTGCAGCGTGTGCAGCGAGAGAGCGTGGCGATGGCGATTTTACTTGAACTTGGACTTGGGACTCCAGGGTTTGAAGCAGTTGTCTTGGACTTGCAGATCTTCACGAGCTAGCCTTGCGCAGCTGATTTTCACTCCGTGGCAGCTCGGCTTGAGAGGCTGCCAGCGCAAAGACACTCCCACTGTAAGCGAAACACCTTTTGTTAATCAGGACGGATGGTGTACGGTGGTGGGGTGGTCGGATTGAAGCGGAAGTGGAGCGAGAGCGGATAGGTACAGGCAGAACTGCGATGAGAGGCGACGAGGGGGGAAGAGTCTCTGTGAGTGGCGGCTGAAGGAGGAAAATATGGGCGGATGTGTTTGCGCAGATGGATAAAGGATGGAAAAGGGAAGTGCTCTGGAGATTGGCGAAGGAACCTGAAAGGATGAAGTGGAATTAGATGGCGTTAGAGGGGCAAGGGGGTGTCCAGGAGGAGGGAGGGAAAGATAGGTAGGTGGAGTTGGGGGAGGAACGAGGGGGAGGAGGTGTGCTGGTGCTGCTGCTCGTGCTGGTGCTCGTGGTGGCGATGGTGGTGGCGATGGTGGTGGCGATGGTGATGGTGATGACAATGGTGTCGCTGGTGGTGATAACGCGGACGACTTGAACGAAGAAGAGAGCGACCACAGGCTACAGCAACACAGCCACGCGACGCACCAGGCGTATCCCAACGAGTAGGCCACACCTCGAGGCAGCTAACAGCAGCAGCAGACTAACCGGCCACCAGCGGTTGCCGTGATCGCAGACTCCTGGCAGCTCCCGATCCTTCCACTCCAAGGGGAAGCACGGGGCGTCACTGCCGATCAAAGGCTCGAAAAGAACCTTACAAACAGCGGAACGACCCCGCCTGATTGCAACCCACTAGCTTTGAGAATTTTCAGGAAACGAACGACGGCGTGTGTGAAACCGCCCGTCCTCTGCGACGCTCGCTGTCAAACGCAGCAACGTCGTTTCACAATCAGATCCGCCCCCGCGATTCGCGTCTTCAGGCCACCTCGGCGCGAGTAGCGCGACAGGAAGCGCGCGATATTCACCCCGCGATCTCCCAAGTCACAGCCGTCGACCGGTAAAGAGGAACTCCTTGTCCCGGGAAGAGGCGAAACGCACAGCTATCTTTGAACCCTGCCGTTCCTTGCACGCCCAGCGAAGGAATTAATTCCCTCAAACGCTGTCGTGGAATGCAGGATCCGTATGCGGAAACCCCGAATTCCTGCTGACGGAGCCTTCAAAGTTGAAGACGGAAAAAACGGGCCGTTAAACGTCGGGCGGGCGGGCAAAAGATGCGAGCGAGGGAGGCGCACGTGTGGCGAGAGGAGAAGAACAGGAGAGTAGGGCCGACGAAGGGCACACGCCGGCCAGAGAGAAATGTCCGAGTCAGCAAGATAAATCGGGTAGCTTCTTCCCTCGGATTGATGTGGTGATGAGGAGCGACGAGAGCAGATGAAGGAGCGAGGAACGCGGAACGCGGAGGTGCTGAGCGAGGAGCGAGGAAAATACGACCACGAGTGAGTCGGGATGAAGGATGCCGCGGGAGAAGATGAGGCGAGAAGAGAGGAGAACCGTTTAATTCAAATAGGTTGATGATGATGATGATGATGATGATGATGATGATGATGATGATGATGATGATGATGATGATGATGATGATGATGATGATGATGATGATGATGATGATGATGATGATGATGATGATGATGATGATGATGATGATGATGATGATGATGATGATGATGATGAGCAGGACGACCAATGTGGTGCACGCGACAGATGCTCGTTGCGACGGCGCGAGGCGTGACGATCGGAGACGGGATGAGACGAGCCGATGCGATGGAGGTGAGAAGAGACGAGACGAGGCGAGCGGAGACGAGACGAGGCGAGCGGAGACGAGACGAAGCAGGTCGAGGTAGGAGAGGCGAGGCGAAGCAGGTCGAGGTAGGAGAGGCGAGGCGAAGCGGGATTGGGTAACGGCTAGTCGAGATGAGGCGAGGCACTGAAGGCTGACGATACGGATGGCGATGAGAGGAGACAACAGAGAAGCGTAGATCGCTGCTCGCCTGAACGACGCGGAAACTCGGTCCTTCCGCTGTCGAAGTACGGAACCGTTCAGTAATTCCACCCTCTTTTACGAGAAGCGGATATGCAGCCAAAGTGATGCTTTTGAAGCCGCTCAAATGATGGCGCGCGACTGAAGGTTAACTCGAACCAAGCAGGGATGAGCCAAGCCGGGACGAATCAAGCCGGGACGAGCCAAGCCGGGACGAGCCAAGCCGGGATGAGCCAAGCCGGGACGAATCAAGCCGGGACGAGCCAAGCCGGGACGAGTCAAGCCGAGTTGCAAGCAACGCGATGAAAGGGCGAAGAGTGGTCTATCTGGCCAGCCGCGAAGCAGCAGGATCGGGAATAACCGAAAACTGGAGAGTGGTGCAGAAAGTGGCTCTGAGAAGCTGCGGTAACGGCGACTATAGACGGTAGATCGATCTCCACGGCAAAATGCTCTCAAGATTGGAAAAGCGAACAAAAACTTGAGACGAGTTGGAAGACCGAATGAAAAGTCGTAGCTTAAAGGCCTCTTCTGTGGAGAAACCGAGACGTGCGGAGGTCTCGTAAAGCCTCGAAAAGGACAGATCTGAGATCAATGGAGAGGTGGCGTGACGAACTTGATCGACGGAAGCGTGCGAGCGGTTGTTGCGGTGAGCAAGGGGAGTGGCGATGAGAGGGGAAATGGCGATCCTGGAGAAAAGCCGATGACGAGGAACGATTAAGAATGCACGACACTAAACCCTACGTAGATCCGTGACTAGGATAAAGTTAGCCCAGGAAAGGCAGCGAACTAAACCCGCCACGATGGTTCAGCCATAGGGAAAAACAGCGGCTATGTTGAAACTGGAAAGCTGCAGCCGAGATACCAGACCAGACCAGCGAAATGACAACCCATATCAGGATGGATCATGGAGTGGAGTGCCTTCGCCATTTGGAAAAAGCTTGGTGGTCATTCTAGAGATTGGATGGCAGGGATTACCAATAATCACCGAGGCATTTGCTGCAGAGGTGAGCCAACGTGACTGTACAGGGCGAATGAGAGGCGTTCATGCAAGAACGCGAACAAAGGTCTCCGTCGCTCGTGCAATGTAATGCTAATACCGAGGGTGTGCAAATGTGCGGCCGCGATGTAATATCGTAAATGGAAACGTATCGTAGTCGCACATCCACAGCACAAAAAAATATCTTACGTGTACTTAGACACGCGTACGTGGTCTTCCTGTTCGCAGTGTAGCCAGGCTCCATGAAGTCAATATTTACAACAAACAACCATGTGTACAGCTAAATGATTATTGTGAAGAACACAAAACCACATAAACCCTCCCATATTATTTAATAGCTACCGGCATGCATATGTGTTATGCTGCTGCTTGTGGTACGACGATTGCACACAGATGGTGCATTCATAGGATCTTGCGGCGCCGCAGGTAGATGAGCATGAGGACAAACATGACCACGCCACCTAAAATTATGCCCCCTGTGGTCATCCAGAAAGCAGTCTGTGGTAAGGGGGGGGGGAGGGGGGGGCAACATTATGTTGAACAAGCGTGCGAGAAGGCTTAACGAGTTTCCCCTGACAGCGCAGAAAGGTTGACAAACAGATGGTTATGAAGTTTTCGCAGACATGTAAAGATGCATGTGCATGATTATCCAGAATGAAAGTTGGAAGAGAGGGGGCAACTCACAGCACACTCTTCCAACCGACTTCGAAGGTTCATCCCAAAGATTCCTGTCAGTGGCAAGCGGTGTAAGCAAGCAACGCAGGAAACAACCACCGGCAAATACAGAGTGTCACAGGGAGGGGTCAGAATTAGGACGTTTAACGAAACAGAAATGCACATTGAAGCCGTATGGCTGCACAAGAGAGGAGAGTGAGCGTGAGAAGGCTTTAACAAATACAGGAGATGAGGAAGGATAGACAGTCTCTGATGAGGATTGAGTGACGAGCAACACGGGTGAATCAAAGAAGAACACAGCCGACGAAACCAAGATCACGCACCACAACAGCTAAGGACCAGAGCGAGGCAAAAGCGTAGAGATGTAGATGGTTGCCCATGAAGAGACAGCAGGCTTTAGGGGATGCACATAGTAGCAGCACAGCAACACCACCCATATGCTTAGCTAAGATTGAATTAGTGTGAGAGCATGGCTCACCTGCGATGAGGGCCCCTATGGCCGAAGCGAACGTGGCCACCTGTAGCAGCAGCTCAAAGCGGCTCACTTCCAGGCGGCGAGAGCTGCAGAGGGCATGCAGTGGGCATGGTGCGTGGCGTATGGAAAGGAGAAGAGGATTGCGGAAGGAGAAGGGAGCTTGAAGGAAGCAGAAGGTGAGGGTAGGGGAAGGTGAAGGGAGAGGGTTCCAAGACGTTTTAAGAAGGGAATGATAGTGAAGGTGGCGAAAGGTGGGAGCGATATTGAGGGAGGAAAGGGGAATGGTGGGAGGAGAAGGCAGGGCATGTGGCGTAGGTGACAAGAGGAAACGTATGTGAAGGGAAAGCGGAGCGGAGGCGGCACGAGAGGGAAGGCGAGTGGTTTAGTGGCGGTGTTGATGTTGAGATGAGGAGAAGAGGCTCACCTGAGGTTGACCGAGATTGAGTCCTCCATCTCCCTGGCTGAATCCAGTAGCTTCTCCGCCTGCCCATGGCACGAGTCGCACCTGCCATGTGCACACACACACGCATGCGCATATACACACACACACACATGCACACACACACATGCACACACACACACACATGCGCACACACACACATGCACGCACACACACACAAACGCACAAACGGGCACACATACGCATTCACATGTTCAGAAATGCAGAGACGTAGATTAACGTACGTTGTGGATGCACTGCCAGGCAGACCATATATATAGTGCATGCGTGTATGCATTCACTTGCACATGCAGGTACATATACCCCATACGCACATAAGCCCATGCATCCAAAGATAAGACCATCAACGTACATGTAAGAAAGGGTTGAGAGGCGTAGGTATGTGCATGGGAATGGGCATGGATGGTAACAGTAATACTGTTGTGTACGAGTTGTGGTGCAAGCACGTGTGTGTAAGTGATACAGCAAGGTAGTAACAGGAAGAGACTGAGGTTCCAGGTGCACACACTGCAAAGCAAGACAGCAACGGCAGCAGCAACAAACATCGACTCACAACGCCTTGAAACTGGCAGTAGCAAAAGGAAGGTGGGTGGGGCGTCATACCGTTGGAGGTAATACTCAAGCAACATCTCCACCTCCTGCTCGTCCTCTGCTCCACCCACACACAGCAAAGAGGTGTATTTTGAGGCGCCTCAAAATACACCTCAAGACTAGCAGCAGTAGCAACGGACAGGCAGGGTGTCATACCGTTGGAGGTAATACTCAAGCAACATCTCCACCTCCTGCTCCTCCTCTGCTCCACCCACAGCACATCATGCACCGCACAGAGAGGAACGAGAGAGAATGGTGAGACATACGGCTCAAAGACACGCCCCTTTTGACCCCACTCGCCCATTCAAGCGCACACACCCTTTCCAGTCCACACCCCTATTCAAACCTACAGATCCCTCCATGCACATATGCACCCCAACGCTGCATGCACCCCAACCTTGCAGCACGCACCCAAGCACCGCCACGCCCCCTCCCTGCCTCCCACCCTACCCACTCTCCCCACCCACCCCCCACCTGTGCGCCCCCTCCCCGCCCTCTGTCGCCCTCACCGTCCACGAGCCGCTGGTCGATGGGTGTGAGGCACTCCACTTGGCCGTCCTTGCTGACGTGGCAGTGCCGCCCCATGGCTGTGATGCGGCGCAGGTCACTCGTGTGCTCTAGCAGCTCCAGCAGCATCTGCCGCAGCGCCCCAACCTTGGATCCCAGCTCCACCTGCGAGGGGGGCCGGGGGGCGTGCGGAAGGAAGTGGCAGGTGCGGGAAAAGGAGGGGGTATAAGGGGAGGGGGGGGGAAGGAAACGGGGGAGATGGGCGCGCAGGTCGCTCGTGTGCTCTAGCAGCTCCAGCAGCATCTGCCGCAGCGCCCCCACCTTCGACCCCAGCTCCACCTGGGGTGAGAGGGGAGGGGAGGGGGAGGAAGGAAACGGGGGAGATGGGAGAGCAGGTCACTCGTGTGCCCTATAAGCTCCAGCAGCATCTGCCTCAACGCACCCACTTTTTATCCCAGCTCCACCTGTAATCGGAGGGGAGGGGGAGGAATATTTGGCGGAGAAGAGAAGAATGGGGTTGTGATGCGTGCGGTAGGTCAGTGGTGTGTTGTAGGGTCGGATATCCAGGCTCCAGCAGCAGCATCTGCCACAGCGCCCCAGTCAAAGTGGGAGATTGAAGGGGGGGGAGTGCGGGGAGAAGGACGGGACAGCAGAGGAGGAAACGGGGAAGGAAAAACCGGCTGTCACGTGGCAATCACACTGCACACACACTGCACTCTGCACACACACTGCACTCTGCACACACACTGCACACATCGCACGCACGCACCAGAGCCTGCTTCAGTCGTGTGTAAACCGCGCACACTACAAGCAAGAAGCAACACACCAAACGCACGCACACTGCACACATCACACTGCACACATCACACTGCACACATCACACTGCACACATCACACTGCACACATCGCACTGCACACATCGCACTGCACACTGCACACATCGCACGCACGCACCAGAGCCTGCTTGGCCAAACGCAGCTCCTCGAGATTGTCGGCTGTGATGCGTGTGGGGAGAACCTCCAGTAGCGCCTTCGTCTGGTGTTGCATGAGGGCACGGGTGTGGGGTAGGAGGGGTGAACAGGCGTTTAATGGGGTTGAAGGAAATTGTCGGATGCTGATGCGCATGGGGAGAACCTCAAGTAGCGCCTTCGTCTGGTCATGTATGCATGAGGACACGGGTGTGGTCGGGTGGGAGCAGTGAAGGGCGGGTGAAAAGGGGGTGAAAGGGGGGGGTGACAAGGGGGATGAGAAGGGTTGAACAAGGACGGTAAGGGGAGAATGGGGTCGTGGCGTGGAGAGAGAAGGCAGGGGTTGTGCGGGAGAGAAGGGTCAGGAGAGATCCGGATGGGTAGATCCTGAGACATTGCGAGTGTGTGAGAGTGGGGGGTGGGAGACACGAGCAGAAGCATGGCAATAGCAGTGATACAAGGCAGGATGGAGGGCGAGCCTCAGGAGGGAGGGAGGGAGGGAGGGAGGGAGGGAGGGAGGGAGGGAGGGAGGGAGGGAGGTTGGAAGCGAGGAAGGGGGGCAGGAGCGAGGGAGAGAGGGAGGGGTGACTGACCCGAGGCTCGATGTCCAGAAGAGCACTCTCAAGTCGCTGTGTGCGGGAGATCAAGGCACACTCCACCACCTGCAATGCGGGGAGAAAGGGGAAGAGAGAGAGGGGGAGAGTAGGAGAGAGGGAGAGGGAAAGAGGAGGAGGAGAGGAGGGGTGGATGGAGATGGGGAGGGGGGACGAGAGAGGAGGTCTGAGGGAGATCAAATGGGAGCGGTAGCGGGTTCGATAAGAGATGGATACTCACGAGCAGAACAACATGCGGGAACGGGCGGGAGTCATGCCTGGAAGGCCATCGGTCGATCGAAACGCGCGTACGCTCAGGTTTGAATGACAATTTCTTACCTATTCAATCCCTACTAGCCTAAGCTCAGCCTAGAGGAGATTAGGACGAGTTAGGACTGCTGGATCCAGGTCGAAACTATTTTTCTAACAGCATGCGGGAACGGGCAGGAGCCATGCCTGGAAGGGGTTGGGCACAATAGCGACGTGCACGCATGCACGTTGCAAAAAAAAAAAACATGAAGAGAAAGCACCACCCAGCACAAGACGGACACCCAATGCAAGCAGCAGCAGTGCAGCACAGCAATGCATGTCAGCAGCACGGATGTCATGCCAGCCAGTAGTGTGCGATTCATTTCAACCAACGCACCTCCAGTTCGAAGGGCACAGGGCCTCCCACGCCCTTGCTCCCGTGCATGTCTGCCAGATCTGCATCCAGCCTCAGACAATCCAACAGCACCTCCAGGAATGCCCGCGCTCTTTGAGGCGCTTAATCAAAACGCACCTCCAGTTCGAAGGGCACAGGGCCTCCCACGCCCTTCCCCCCGTGCATGTCTGCCAGATCTGCATCCAGCCTCAGGCGATCCAGCAGCACCTCCAGGAATGCCCGCGCTCCTGCACTGTAGCATGTGGGGGATCGGGGGAGTGGCGGGGTGGGGGGGAGGGGGGGTGGGGAGGGGGATGGGGGAATTGGGGGGGAGGTGGAAGATGGGGGAGAGAGGAAGGAAGGGAAGAACGAATCTGGCTTAAGGAGAAGGTAGAGGAGGGAGGGGGAGGTGAGTGGGAGGGTGGAAAGGTGCACTTTCAGGGAGGGTAGGGGGACGCGTATGAGGGGGAGGGGAAGAAATGTGAAAGGTGAGGGCTGAACCCAAAGTGCCGCCAAGACTGGAAATCGGATTTCTGCGCATCCTCCTGTTTAGAATCCCCACACTTTACCCCTGGCCTGGATGTTGCCTTGACGGCTCGGCTCAGCTACGTGCTTTGCATTTGCATTGCTATGCGCGCACGCACTGTGCTTGCCATTGTGGTGGTGCATGTGGTGGCAATGGCACCTGTGGTGGTCGAAGATGAGAACAGAGTCGGCTGTAGCTACGGCCCGTAGCGACCCTAGGTTCACCAGGATCGCACTCTCCCGCACCTGCATGCGGATTCGTGGGTGTGGGGGGGGCGGGAGGAAGGGGGGTACTTTTGAGTCAACTCAAAAACCCGCAGAGACCCTAGGTTCACCAGGATCGCACTCTCCCGCACCTGCATGTGGGAGGGGTGGGAGGGATGGGGAGGCAGGATAGGGTTGCATGGGATGTGTGGGAGTGTGTGGGGGAAGGTGGGGAGAGGAGGAGAGGGTGTGTGTGGAGGGAAAGGAGTGCAAGGGAGAGGGAAGGAACGAACAGGCGAGGCGAGCGGAGTTAAACAAGAGAGGGTGAAGAAAGGGTGGGGGGAGAGTGGTCACTGTGAGGATGATGCGCGTCTGCCCAAACCAGAGCAGCTGCAAGCACAACGGGAAACATAATCAACTCTTCCCCAATTTCACCTTTCACCTCACCTGTATGGCTTACCGAAACGCCATGCCCATGTCTCACCAGCAGGGCAGGCAGGGCGTTGGTGACCCAAAGAGACGGGTCAATGCGGCGAATGTCACGCTGCGATAGACCTGCGCGGGACGGGAGACGTGCGGGCAAGAGGGTAATATTATTTTTAGTCGACTCAAAAGTCACCAGCAGGGCAGGCAGCGCATTGGTGACCCAAAGAGACGGGCCGATGCGGAGCATGTCACGCTGCGATAGACCTGCACGGGAGAGGAGACGTGCGGGCAAGAGGAAAGGATGGGACGGAGCGAAATCAGGAGGAAATATAGGAGATGAGTGAAGGAGTGACGGTGTGGAGCAGCAGAGAGGAGAGCAGGCGAAGCAGTGATGCCTTGGCATGTGGTTCACCTAGTTAGGAAGACAGTCGCTTGCTGGCTGACAGAGCTCTGATGCCTTAGGTAGGCATGTGGTTCACCTAGCTAGTCAAGCCATCTCCAGCACGCAAGCAGTACCACAACAAGCTCACATCGCACTCGCACTTTCTCTCGTGCTATTTGCCCCAACCTCGCCCCCTCGCCTTCCTCCAACTCGCCAAACTTCTCAATCTCACTCAGTAACATGCTCGTCGTGATCCGACTATTGAGGCGCCTTTTAAGGCGACTTTTAAGGCGCCTCAAAACTCATGCTCACTCAGTAACATGCTCGTCGTGAGCCATTCTCTGCTGTCGCTCCTCCTCTCTTCCGCCCTCCTGTCTTAAGCCCTCCCACTGCACTTCCCGACTAGTATCTTCTATCCGTTAATTCGCTAACACAAACATATCCGTGAATAAACTTGTTCCTCTCCTAAACATAGCTGTCTGTAGGTGCCGATTTTCTAGGCGCCTAAGAGAAAGCTCACCACTGTATCGCAGCAGCTGTCGTCGACTGACCTCCCTCTGCCTGAGTGCCCCGCTCGCACTCACCTCCACTACCTGGTGTCAGGGCGGGAGGTGGGGGAGGGGGTGGGATTGGGGGAGGGGGAGGGGGATGCAGGGGGAGGAAAAGGGGGGTGGGAGGGAAACGAACGGAAAAGGATGCGTTGGGCTAACTAGTAACTTGCCAAACAATAGCTGGGAGACAAGGATGGATGAGGGTGAAAGGGGAGTGGGTGGGAGGAGAAGGCCCCGAATTTGAAAGCTAAAGCTGCTCTTGTTCGAAATTCAGACAAGTATTTAAAATGACTGTTGTCAGAACCTCGCATCCTCTCTGCACTTTCCATCTTCCCCACAATTTCCAGTCCCACATCTTCACTCTCTCAATTTACCCCCCACATCACCCCATCCCTCTCTATCCCCCAACATGTATCCAGACCAGACACACACACGCACACACACACACACACACTCACTCACTCACTCACGCACTCACACACACACACACACACACACACACACACACACACACACACTCACGCACGCACGTGCCCACACATCCAACCCCCACCATACACACACCCACACCCACACACACGCACGTGCATGCACATGCACCCCCCCCCCCCACACACACACCTGGTACACGGGTTCCTTAGACATGGTGAGCGTGAGGGCATCCACTCCCTGACCCGATCCCGAGGCAACCCACCCGCGCCCCACAGCAAAGGCAGGCCCGGTGGCCTCCCACCAGCTGCCTATGGGCGGCCGAGTCACTCGCGAGAATGACCCAGGGGCCGTGCCCACTGCTGCAGCCGCCGCTGCACTGGCGGCAGCGGCAGACACAGCAGCGGCACTGGGAGCAGCAGCAGCAGCAGCAGCAGCAGCAGCAGCAGCAGCAGAAGTAGCAGCAGCAGCAGCAGCAGCAGAAGGAGAAGCAATGGCAGGGCTGGCAGTGCCAGCAGCAGCACCATTAACACCAGAAACGGCAGTCACGTAAGGACGAGGATGGTCTGGGGAGACCCCGCTATCAGCCAAGCTGCCTGTGTGATTTATCGTGGTGAACCGATTGGCTCCAGCATCGTTGACTCGCTTGACTTCCGCAGCGTGGTTGACTCGGTTGACTCCAGCACAATCCAATCTCCAGATCTCAAACTCAGGATGGATTTCCCCACTACTACCACTGCTACTGGGACTCACCCTGCTGCTTCCGCCGCCCTTTTTCTCGTCCAATTTGTGCATCCCAGGTGTATTTCCCTTCTTTTCCTTCTCACGAGCCAGATGCGAGGCTACCAGCGATGCTATCACGCCCACCCAGCCCATCCCCGCTTTCGCCCAAGACCACTTCCCTTCCTCCTCTACTCTACTCTCCTCCTCTCCCCCACTCGGGCTTTGCTGGGAGTCATGCCCACGATATCCTGCCAAAACGCGCGTTGCTGCAGCGTCAAAACCACGCTCCAAAGCCTGTAACTCCTCAAACTCTTCAAACTCCTCTAGCTCTTCTAGCTCCATCATTGCACCACCGCAATCATCAAGCCCTCTCTCCTCATGACCATCGTATCCACTATCCTTGCTGCTGCCATTGCTTCTCGCACCGCTGCCGCCGCTGCCTCCGCTGTCCTCGCAAACTCTACTGATTGTTCGACACACGAAGCTGCTGCTGCGTCCTCTACAGCCCGACAGATTTCGATTAGCACCGCCGCCGCGATTCAGCCCCGGATTTACGAAACCATTGAACCGCCTTCCGCACTCTCTTTGCGCCTCGGCTTCAATCCCTTCTCGCCACCTAATTTTGCAACTTCGCCTGCTGGGAAAACCTAAATGGGGGATGTTATTGCTACGTGGTGAAGCTGCTGACGTGTCAGCCAGAGGACATGATCGCTGAGGCTCGTGCGACTGCGTGCGAACCCGTCTGTGCCGTCGTAAATGGTTAGCTGTGCCTACTGTAGAGACGGCTGTAGCGGCTGCTGTAGAGCTTGGTCTGTTCTGCGATATCGCGTGCGACTGCGCGCGACGCCGCAGAGGTACGAACGAAGGACGAGGGGGACTGCTCGACGTCGCCTTCGAAACAGTCGACACAGTTAAATTAGTGAATGCGGAAGCTTCGCGGGTGATCCCGCTCCTTGGCAGACCTTCCACTCCAGGAAGCGCACATCCTTCGTTTCTTCGAATGTAAGTCCTATGGGAAGATGACAATGACTGAGGGAACTGCACTCTACGATCTTCAGGAGCAAATATTTCGTTTGTCGTACCGGATGCGCGACATCGTTTTGTGCGAGATTCGTTTTTGCCAAGTAATAGACGACGGTGCGATAGGAGATCACCAGGCCGGAGTTCGGGAGAAGGGCAGGACAGTAGCAGGGATTGGCTAAAAGCAGGCGCCAAGGACCTGGCGCAGGAATAATGAGAGCTACGGCTTAGAGCTGTTGGAATCAGAGACAAAGGAGGAGGCAGACCGTGGGGCCTAGTAATGACCGCCATGGAATCAACAGGCTTAGATAAGCCGACCTCGAAATTATGTGTGGGATGGGATGACAAAGGCTAAAGACAAAGCATTTGGGATAATCCAATTGTCGAAAGCAGGTTCACGACGAGCGGAACTGGAGCAGGCTGTTTTATTGAGAGAGCTTGATAACAGAGGCAGGCCGGTCAAATATTGCAGCGTAATGGCACCAGTTTTGTACAGCGCTGCTGAACTGGCATCTGGGGTCTAGTTTTGGCGTGATAAGCCGCCAAGTGCTCCAGGAGGCCGTGTGAGGTTGTTCAGATGTCTCGTGCAATTTTTAGCTGGGTTCCTCACAGTTTTTGCGCATTACCGTATATAAACGTGACTCACCTAACAGAACCGAGAAATGAGTTGAAAACGAGTTTGATGATCACAGGGCAGGAGGGAGTGACAACAAGCCACCACCAGAGGTTAGGGCAGTGAAGGGAGCAGCAGAGGTTTGGGGTGGGGAGGAACAATCTAGGATTTTCAGCCAATGACGCTGCGTGAAGCAATCTGGGTAAGTATCGGAAGCAATCTGGGTAATATATTGAAAGCCTGCCATTTAAAGTACACTGAAACCGTACTGTTATTGCAACTGTAACCATAACTACTAGCTTCAAACGTACAAAACCGTTCTGCAGGAACAATTTCCTAAGCCTTGTTGCGCCGAAGGTCCCAAAGTCTGCGGAAACCGATTGGACCAATCAAGCAACGTAACGTGGGTTCCCTTGTTCTTCTGCCGAATGCATTTTGCGGCTGTATGCTGAACCAGGGTGTAAGCAGGTTTCGATATTCGATCAGAACCAATCAACGACTAAGTAGCATGGTACACATGTGAATTAAGAGCCCTTTATGTGAAAATGCAGAAATGGGAAGCCAAAAAGTCTAGACTATTATAACAATCATAATGTTTAATAAGGGAGGATCAATTCATCGTTTTGATCCTATTGAATAGCTCTGGCGTAACTTGAAAAAATGCCAATTTAGTGGGACACAGTCAGTCACCTCTTGTATATATATCTCTATATAATATGACGTATATGTATCCTATACACTAGCCCAAAAACGCATGACGTTGAGCTCTGCTTTGCTTATGCGTCGGTCCCATCACTGTAGCCTCCTGCCCCAAAAGAATGGTGGCCGCTTGATGATGACGAACCAAGGCTAACCCCAACCCCTGGGTGGGGGAGGGTAATCATTTCGTTTGCTTCGTTGGAACCCCTTTCACAAATCAGAAGCTGTGTTGAAGCCGGGATAGATCTCCATTGGTGCTCTCCTCCAGCGCACGATGGCGGAATCCCTTTGACTGCATTGTTTGTTTCTTTTCTGTCCCATCGGAGGAGCCATCGTCCAGCAGACGTTCCATTTACGCAGCATTTCTATCGTTAACCACGAATTTTGACTCCTGAACATTGCACTGTAGCTCAAACATGTCGAGATGCATCTTTGATACACTCTGCATTCTGTAAACATAGCGGCAATATCGTTGAGCTATTCGGGTGGGTAAACGCGTTTTGCGTAGAAACAAAATGGCTCCACTGCCCCATCACAGATCGCACGTGTAATCCCTCGACACTTCCGTTCAGGGCAACCAAGGAGGAGCTACAGGCAAAAAGCAGCAGCATTCTTTTCAGCAGCAGCTGCTGCGCACGGTTGGCAGCAGGAGATGGGATGGGTCCTTAGCAAATGACTGGGACGTAAGAATACTCTACGGGTGTCCATATACATCCATCGTGTGGCGAGCAAGTGGACACATGTCTTTATGAGGGCATGCGATCTATCCCTCCAACTCCGTCAAGTCGCGGAAGACTACCCTGATCATCCACCAAAGATGAAAAGTTCCCTCCCTCGTTGGCGGCAGGCGGTCCGGGCTGCTGGTGTTTGCCGCGGACATCCACCCACCACCACCACCAGCTTCATCCGGCTCGAACCAAAAAGCCAACTACAGCGCATCGCCACAAACTGTACACCCATCAGCTTCGCTTGCCCAGCCCCTCTTCTTCCTCGCATACACATGATGCCCGTTTGGCCCACTCCCGGTTGCCTTGTGAAGGGGGCTTATTAGCTGTAACGTGCATTTCGCATAAGTTTCGTCGATTCGCATCTAGCAAAAAAGGATTCGTCAGGTGCTTTAAAAATTTTGGTAACCTATCCGTTGACATTTTGACTTCAGTCTCTTTAGTTTGACTTCGGTCTGTTCGCTTTGACGTGCTTGTAATGTGCGTGCAACTAGCTGGGGAAAAAACCTCGGGTGCAGGGTTTCTATCCGGTACAGGGCAAATTCGCATGCACGGGTTGGGCATCATGTGTAGAAACATTTATTTCTGCCCAGTCGCTGTGCTCATTCTGACTCATCGCTGTCTCATTCCGCGGCACTCATCTCATCCCCATCATCCATTTCCATTTCGCCCCACCCATCCTAATCGCCTTCATCCTTCTCCGCTCAACTCCTCCTGGTCCCTCTCGCCGTTCGTCCAACTTCGATGCTGCTCACACAAGCCTCAGTCGCACACTCCCAGCACAGTCTCAACTTTGTTTGCTATTGGCGTCCTTCCTCTCGTTGTGGGAGCAGCTTTCCGTTTAGTGCATCCCATTTGTAGAGGCTGAAGTGGTTCTCTACGATCACAGGAATATAGGGACACAAGCGACAGTTGGTGGAGTGTATCCTGTTCTATTTGTCCTTGTGTTTTTCACAATCAGTGAGATGGCGTCGATCGCATCGCCCGATCTTTAGATGGTTTCGTAGTTTTCTCTCAGCTCACTAGAGTAGTTAGTCCAACAGGGTACGTGTTTCCTCTCTAAACGATTGTGCGTGGCAATTCCGGATCGACGAGCAGTCAATTGCTCCTCGCGTTACTCGATTAGTCCCCCCTGTTCCCACTAGTCTCCGTCTAGCAACGGGCAATTCAATTGTACCCAATTCCGGACGAAGCGGGCGGATTCGCGTCGTACGCTTTTACGAGCAGTCACCCTTTTAGCCATTATCTCCTTCAGCGGCGTCAACGTTACACGAAGCTAGGACAACAGCAACACCGGAACCACACCACGACTGTAAATTTTCCTCAAAAGCAGGAGCAGAGGAGCTGTATCACAGAAAGCGCGTCCGCCATGCCCATGCTCAAGGTGCAGAAGCTCTACGATGCGTGCAAAGCGGCCTTCTCCTCCCATGCCGGCTCCGTACCGTCTCTCCAGCCGCTGCAGCGGGTTCGCGATATCCTAGGTACGTCGCGGCCGCGTGTGACCTTACTCGTGCCTGAATTGCGGAATTGAGTCGCCGCTTGTCCGATTCGCCTCGCTACTGTGTCGGAAGAGCCTTCGAGTCGAGTACACGGCGAAATCGGGGTCAATTTTAAGAATTATCAGCAGTATATATTTCGTGTCCTCTAGATCAGGAATTCTCGCATTTGGTAATTGTAACTCGTTCAAGATTCTTCTTTAAAATTATTGCGTCGTTTGCTCTCTTTCTGCCGGGCACCTTCTCTTTTCGCGACTTGTTCGATTTCTCTCTATCCCTCGCTCTTGTCCCTCATCTTTCTCACCCACCCCGTTCACGCAACTATAAACGCATCCACTTATATATAAATCGCAATCGCAGAGTCCATTGAGGCTGCTGACGTCGGACTCGACGAGGTCGCTGCTTGCTGCGAGAATCGCAACGCCGCGAATTACGGCGCAAACCACGCCGCCACGGCTGCGGCAGTCGGGCGCTCCGCGCAAGGCGACGGCGCGGAGGCACGCGGCGGTGCGAACGAGCGGAACGGTAGCGGGGCTGGGGGTTCCGCGGATGGGCGGAGCTGCAGCGGAGCTGGAGGGTCCGCGGATGGGCGGAACCGGGCGGGCGAAAACGCCAGGGGAGGCTGGGAATCAACACGCGCTGGCGCAGCTGTTGCTCCGAAATGCTCTCCGCCAATCACGTACCTGCACTTATACGAGTGCGACGACTTTTCTGTAAGTATTTTTTTTACCCAACAAGCAGGCGCATCGTATATTACAGAAAACTCCTTATGATTTAACTCTGGACTATACGAGTACATTATTTTCTTCAGAAAACTCCTCTATAGCTCACTCAGTGTATGTACTCTTCCGTCACCATCTCCCCTCCATCACTTTCCCCTTCTTGCTTCCTCCGTGTCCCTCGTCCCACCATCCAGATCGGAATCTTCTGCATTCCAGCGTCGGCAACCATACCCCTGCACAACCACCCGGGCATGACGGTGCTGTCGAAGCTGCTGTTCGGGTGCATGCACGTGCGCTCGTTCGACTGGGCCTTTCCCACTGAACCCTCCACCGACCCTTACCAACGTAATGCTCTCTCTTCCAACCCCCCCCCCCCCCCCCCCCCCCCCCCGTCCCCCCCCTCTCTCTTTCTTTCCCCCCATCTCTTTCCCTTACACGTTCTTTCTTTTCCGTCCCTCTCCCTCCCCTGCTCCTCCCCTGCTCTTTCCTTGCTTTCATTTCAGCCTCCGTGCCCTCCCTCTCCCCCACCGTCTCTGCATCCACACTCTTCTTTCAAAATCTCCACTTCCCTTTCCCCCCTCTACCTTCTCCCTCCCCCAGCCCTCCTCTCACATTTTCCCCCCCTCTTTCCCCTTGCCCACCCCACACCCCTCCCTCTCCCTCTCCCCCACCCCTCTGCTGTCCCGCCCATGATCCATCCATCCCCGCTGCTCCACCAGCACGCCTGGCAGAGCTAGTGGAAGACCAGGTGGTAGCAGCGCCGTGCCCGCCAGACATCCTCTTCCCCACCAGCGGCGGCAACATCCACTCCTTCACCGCACTCTCCCCCTGCGCCGTTCTCGACGTGCTCGCGCCGCCTTATAACGCTGATGCAGGCCGCCACTGCACGTACTTTAGGGAGCTCGCGCCTGCGAGCTTCCCGGCACTGGAGAGCACAGAGGGGCTGAAGGAGGGCGTGGAGTATGGGTGGTTGGAGGAGTTTCAGCCTCCTGATAGCTTTGTTGTGCGCCGCGGGAATTACCGAGGACCCATGGTGCGTGGAGGAGGTTTGGGGAGTGGAGGGGGAGGGGGGGGGGGGGGGGAAGGGGATGGGGAGGTGGTGGGTTTGGGTGTGGAAGCGAGTGGGTGTGTGGAGGGAGTTGGAGGGTTGGAGGGTGCGATAGGAGGGTGGTGGCTTGAAAGTGTTGAGTGGAGGTTCTGTGTCCGTCTGCTCTCTTGGACTCAAGATTTCTAAGCAACATATTTTGCCCTGTTGCGTTTCTTTGTTTGTTTTTTTTCTTTCCCACAGATGGTTGACAGAAAGAGATTGCTGCAGCAACAACGCATTGAGAAGCAGCAGCTTCACCAGGAGCAGCTGCAGCAGCAACAGAGGCAACACCAACAGCACCAGAAAGACATGCAGCAGCAGCAGCAATCAGATTCAGGGTCAGGCATTCTGGTTGTGCCAACAGCAGCATCGCATGCACATAGCATGAAGCGGTGTGTGGCTCAGGTGCAGGAGGCTGAGGGTAGCAGCGACCATCATCAGGCAGCCATGGATCGACACCATCGCCACCGCGCTGCCTCCACCACATCTCGCCCGTAACCCCATCAGCACACCTGGTTAATACAGTTAAATTACGGCAGTAACAAATAATAGTACTGTCACTTTCTTCCTTCCCTGCTGTTCCAAAAGTGTTTTTTTGTGGAAGTTTTTTTCTTCTCGTCCGTTGCGCTCTTTGTACATGTTTTGCATTTGAGGATTAGGTAAGTAAGGTCTTGCTTGCATGACAATCTGAGTTCTCCAGGCCTGATGCCTTGGAGATGCTCATCCATTCTTTGCCTTGCTTTTCTTGCGAGTGCCTTTCAAGGTATACCATTGTTAGCAAATGTCTTCCCAACCCAGTTGAGGTTTTTAATGAGCGCAATGGTAGAATTCTTGCAGGAGGGGAAGTGAATAAGAACATTAGCAAGCTGAACGTTACTTGTTGTATATTACACAACACTGTTAGTGACTTAACAATGCCCTTAGTGTACTTGTTTGCCCAGTCTTTATAGGTGCATGATCGTCACAAGAACAGCCGCAAACCCACAATTATTGGCGTCAATGCGCCTCGCTTTCAGACCGTCGCAACGCATGATCGCGTTCCCTTGCTCTCGAATGGAGGGCGATTGGCAGCCAGATGCCACGAATTGGACACGAATGTCGCGAGATCTGTTCGTCAACCAATCACCACACCTATCTCGTCGCTTACATTTCCCCGAGCATCGCGCTGTCGTATACCAGATGAGGAAAACCGACATTTGGTCACAACATGTAATATCCAACTCCACCAGCAAACCACCCATACGTTCATCGCTACCCCTTCTCGTCTGCTTCCCCATCCTTGCCATTCTTCTCCCTCGTCATAGAACTTTAGCGTCCCCTTCACCGCTCCGCCCATAATTCACCCATTTTTTTGGCCGCCAGTGAGATTGTCCGTTCAAATTCTCCCGTTTCATGGAGCCCGAACGCGTAATATACATGCAGCGAGAAGATTAGGCAAAGATGGGTTGGCTGGGCTGGTCTTAGCATCTCACGGTTCTTGAGCGGTCATTTTCGTTAGCAAGAATAGTTCTAGTAGTTGTGAGAGAAAACTTCCGCACGCTTTGATCCTGTGGCTTATTCTCGGTTTTGGATAGTCTCTTCTTTTTCTTTCTTTCTTTATCACGGAGTGCCGCTCATCTCCGGAAGGATATTCAGTGTGTAACGCATGGCACATGGGGTATTCGCACAGGGAGAGGCGGAAGTGGGAGTGTCCGAAGATTCCCATGCTGCTGAAATCAAGGAGAGCGAGCCGAAGACGAATGGAGGGCCAGAAGTAGTGAGAAATCGAAGGAAGGAAGGAGAAACTGCGGGCAAGTGGAATGAAGAGGAACAAAGGAGGGATGAGGAGGGCGATTGTGATGCCCCAGCAGGCGGGAACGGACTGGAGACGAGAGGAAACGAGGGAGCGATGTTTGCGGCTGATACAAGTGGAGCATTCCGAGCCGAGAAGCGAGAGCAGCAAAGGAATGGGCAAGATGAGACTGCCGGCGCAGAGGAGAAGTACATGGAGAGCGAGAAAGAGAGGGGAGATGAGCTGGAGGAGGAGTGGACAACGAAACGAGTGTCTGAACCAGAGGTGCAAGCGGGGATGGAAGCGTGCCCGAGTCTTGTTACCCAAAGTCCGACACCGACTGGCGGCAATGACGCCCGTTCTGACGACGATACTACTGAAGAATCTGCACGTCCCTCATCCGAGAGAGGAGGATCTGCTGCCGTCATCACTACTAGTAGTAGCGTCGCCGTTGCCACTGCTGATTCGGCAACTACTTCAATAATCACCAGCGGTACAAGTAGTACTGGTGCCTCTACAGCTTCTGCCGCGACAGCTACTAGTGCCGCTACGGCTGGCGGCAATTTGACGGCCATGATAGACGCGGACGGCAGTAGTGACGTTGCCTCACAGCCGGATATATCACGGCCGGGGAGCGGGGAACCAACGGTTGGAGTTGGGGAGGGGGAGGGCAGCGGAGGTGCGGGAAGCGCCGGGGTGGCGCGAAGCGGCGGGGGGGTGTTGCGCAGCGAGGAGGGGAGGCGCGGGAGGAGGCGCGTGCAGCGGCAGTCGTGGGGCGGCGCGTGCATGTTCTGGAGCATCGCAGCTCTCATCGTCGTCATCGCCGCGCTCGGCGCGTACCTCACGTGCGTGCGACACGTGGCAATGCGATTATTGCTAGGGTGGTGCAAAGATACCGCATTCGCATCTCGCGCGAACAATAACCCCCGATACTCGCGATGCGACGTAGCAGAAGCAGAAAGCTGCTCTCTCCCTGTTTCACTTCCGCGTCTTCAACCTCCTCAGGCGAACCTGCCGACCCATCATCCCCTCTCACCCTCCTCTCTCCCCTCGGCTCCCTCTCCCTCACTCTCGTCAATGCAGAGCCGTGGGACCGCTTCCCAACGACGCTCTGCGATTCGTGCTCGTCGCCACCACCGTCGTCTTCGCCGTCGCGTCGCTCGCGCTGCTGCTAGCCATCCGATACGTCGACCCGGGCATCGTACCGCCCTCCGCAGTTCCAGGTGAAATACTATTACGATTTAAATATTTAACCAACGGAGGAAACTGAGCGAAAGGATATCCTCGTTGCGCGCCGCGAATCACGCCCAGCCCGACTGCTCGCAAACCGCCTCCATGTCTCGCCCGTTTGCCTCACACTCCCCCTTCTCCTCTTTCCCGACCTTCCCCCGATCTCCCCCGATCTTGCGCCGACCTTCCCCCTGCCTTTCCCCCGCCTGGCTAGACCCTATGGTGGTGCGCGCGGAGATGGGGGACGTATCCCCCGAGCTGCTGCGTGACTCCAATGGCCAGTGGGTGCGCGCCAAGCTCATTGCGCGCCAAGCGCTCCCGCGCAACCGCCACGCAGGCGCCCACCCCGCGGAGCCCAGAACTCCCCCCTTGGGTGCAACCGACGAAGAAATGGGCCTTCCTGTCGAGGGGAAGGGGGGCGCGGAGAGGGAGGGGGAACCAGCGGAGGGGGGAGCGGAAGAGAAAGGGGGGGCCGGGGCGGAAGTGGTTGAGGAGGTGGAGACACAGAGGTACTGCATTACCTGCCATGTGTGGAAGGGACCAAGGACGAGTCATTGCTCTGAGTGTGGGTGCTGCATGGAGGTGAGTGCGTTTCGTGCATGGGTCGTTGGGACCTTCAATGAACATGCTGCTGCACCTCCTTGCCTTCTGCCCTCTTCTGCCACTCCTGTACTCCTCTCCCCTCTTCTGCCCTCTTCTGCCCACTTCTGCCACTCTCCTGTCCTCTACTGCGCTCCACTTCACCTGCTTCTTCCTGCTTTCTCCTGCTTTCCCTAGCACTTGATTCCTCTTCACCTCCGACTTCATACTTTACCCAGTGCCTTCCTCCTCCTGCCTGCATGTTGCCTTCCCAGCCATTTCCTTTCCTCCCCATGCCCCCTCCCTGCCATCCGCCATGCATCACCCCACGCATCACCCCATGCATCACCCCATGCACCCCTCCTTGCATTACCCCATGCACCCCCCCATGCACTCCCCCATGCATCACGAGCAGCGGCTGGACCACCACTGTGACGCCCTGGGAACATGCATCGCGCGCCGCAACCATCGTTTCTTCATCTCCTTCCTCCTCGCCTGCTCCCTCGTACTGCCTCGCCTTGCCCATCTTCCCCATCTCCCTTCCCACTCACCCTTGCCCTCACCCTTCCCCCTCACATCACCCTTTCCACCCACTCTTGCCCTCATCCTTCCCCCACCCCTCACCCTTGCCCCTCACCCTTTCCCATCCATTGCCACCCTTTTCATTTCATGTGCGCGCGCACAATGTACACTGGCTTATCTTCCGTCCATGCAGCCTTTCTCCTTCACTTATCCATGTCTCATCTTCTTCCCTGCTGAAATGAGTCCTTTTCTAAGGCGCCACACAAAATCGGTCGTTCAGTTGTTCACATTTCCTGTTCAGCTGATACGTCCTGGTCTCCCCCCTTTCATACGTTCTCCCCCAGTTTCCAACCCTTTCAGCACTCCTCCGCTGTGCTTTCTCGTGCTTGCACATCTTACTCCACCATTGCCTCGCATCCCCTCGTGCTACTCAACAGGCCGCCACAGCAGTCATTGTGTCAGTCTGCTTACAGCTGGCATCAGTTGATTGGTCCAGGTACAAGGGATATCCAATCAGCACTGTACATTCCTTCAAAGGCCCCACCAAAGTTACACCCTCTCATTGCCCCATATCACTCACTCGATCCTCCCACCCATTCTCTTACAGAGAACTTTCACTCAACCTCCCTTTTCCGACTCCACCCTCATCCCTCCTCTCTGCCTCGTGCCCTGCCTGCTTCCCTGCAGGGGCCTGGAAGGGCAGCCATGGCAGATGTATGTGCTACTGGTGCTGCAGCCCCTCTCCTTCTATGGTGCATGCCTGGTTGTGTTTGCGCTGCTCCACTGCACCATCCTCCTTTGCGGTAACTCTCCGTCTTCCAACCCACCCATTCGCATGTCTGTACAGTCCTGTCTGACGTATTTATCTGCACGTACAATTGGTATTTTATGTTATACAGCATCGCGTCGTTCATTTCACTGAAACATATTGCTTTTGTGCTGTACGTGGCAGATGTAACCACTAAGGAGTATATCCGATATCAGCAAGGCAAGGTGACACCGTCTGTCACTCATCAGCGGACCTGGGAGGGTCTGAAGGAGAACTTACATGACGTGTGCTGCGGAGAAGTAAAGGCACGACCGCGTGTACCGGAACATTAGTGATTTCAAAGTTTCACTGAACATTTGTGTATTTTGGGGGTGTCATTGATTAGAATCCATGCATAATGCTTGCTTGTTGGTTGCATACCACTGCCAAATGTTTTCCTATATTATAAATTTCTGATGTGGTATCATTAATAAGGAATGTTTTTTTCCACTGTTGCCATCTTATTTATTGTGGCATCGAGCTCGCCTGCATAGCTGTATATAGAGCAGTACCCTCCTTTCCAGCCCAACCACCGAGATTACCATTCGCGTCTCGAGTCTCCATCATATTTCCTTATGCTGTTCTCTCAATTCGTCTTCCCCCAGCTCGCTCAATCACTTCATCACTCGTCCTTCCCATTCTCAATGCTCGAGGTTCCTAGTTCAATTCTCCATCCCCTATCTCCATCAGTTCCTCGATTCCCTTTCCCATTGTCCGCTCTATCGCAATCAACCAGTCTCGTTGCCTCTCGTCGGCTCCGATCGAAAACCGTACGGTTCTCTCTATTACTTTCCCATTAGTCTTCTAGTATGGCGAATTTAAGCCGTTTCCTGGCAAGTCGCATGTGTCTCTCTCAGGGTGCACGCGGCTGGCTAGTGAAGCGCAATCGCGCGTGGCGTCCACCAGATAACCTTCATTCTCGGCTCTGTCTCATCGCAACCCACTCGCTCTTACTTAGGCCAGTAGTGCGCTGTTTGCAGCCATCCTTCTTCTTCCGTTCGTCTCCGTATAGCTCTACTCGACTCCATCACTCTAGTCGCTCGGCACTAGCCACGCAACGACGAACACTCGTCGCCGGGATTTCTGTAGAATCCACCTTTTCCTGCCCTGCGAGGGACGTTCGTCGCTGCTCTGCTGTTCGTCGGGGTCAAGAGGCCCTCTCGCTGCCGCCATGGCTGCGGCCGTGGGATCGCTTCAGTTCGCTGCAGGCCGCACCGGCATGAGCGTAGCGAGCTCGCGTGCGGCGTGCGCGGAGAGGCATAGCGATAACGGCGTACATTGCTGCTCTTGTCGCTCCGGATCTGCCCGTCTGCTTCCAGCTGGCTTACCAGCCGCCGTCTGTGGCTCTTCCGCGGTGCGGCTTGCGAGCCATTGTGGCGAGAATGGCGTCGGAATGAGTCGTTCAGAAGGCAAGGGTGCTCCTCGCGCGTTAGTAGCACACTCGACATTGGCTCCCGAACTCCAAGCATCATCAGCGGCTTCTCACCCGCATCCACACGCGCGCGCCCATCCCCATCCCTCCGCCTCTCTTCCCGCTCCCGCGCTGCTTCCGCTCGTCCTCCTCTGCCTGCTCCCCGCGCTCTTCCTCTTCCCGCCCCCCGCCTCCGCCTTCCGCCTCACCTTCCCCCCCGCGCGGGACCTGAACGATGACGTGGACTCGCGGCTGTACCAGCCGCCGTGTGGCGTGCAGCGCGGGCCGCGCAGCCCGCTGACGTCACTGACAGCTGGCGCGGGCCTGAACGTGACGTGGAGCCTGGCGATGGCGACAGCTGGCGGGTTCAAAGTGGAGTTGCTGCGACCGCTGGGGTGAGTGGGTGGAGTTGAGTGGGCGGGCGAGAGAGCCGCTGCATGCACAGCTTCCTCCACCAGACGTAGCTTCTACAGAACAGCACCCTCGCCTGCATGAATACATCATACATGAGCTTTGTTTCACCTCGAACCGACCTTCGTTCTTATTTCTTCTCCTTGCCGTTTCCCCCTCTCTTCCCGCGTGTCACTCTCAGCGCTCGTTCCCAGATGTTCCCATGGGAGCAGCGGATCCTGGTGGTCGAAGGGGTGGACGGCAAGGTGCTGCAGCGTTACGCGGTTACCGCGCTGACTAACGAGACGGCAGCGTCATGGGGCATCATGGCCAACCCTACGGCTCAGTGGGCGATGGTCACTCTCCCTGCTGCTCCCTGCTTCGGCTGCACACTCCGCCTCACACATCAGGTGCCCCTCCTTGCTTCTGTCCCATGCCTCGGCTCCGTCCGTCGCTAGTTGGAGTTGTGAGATTTCTCTATCAAGACAACCTTCCGGATCAGGTGCTCGCTGTGATTTTGTTTCAGCTCCCTCGGCTGCTCCCACACATCCGCACTCCCACCCCCCCTCCCCCGCCTCTCCCTCCCTCTCACACCCTTTCTCCCTCGCTCTCTCTCCGTTCGTGTGTAATACCCTACTCTCGACCCTCCTTCGTGGTACCCATACCCCCTCATCGCCTTCCAACCTTCCATGCCCGTCTGCCTTTTCTCACCCCTCTTCATGTCCTCCTCTTCCTCGTCTCGCCCTTCCTTCCCTCTTATTACCCCCTCCTCCAACCAACCATTCCCACCAGGCGCTAGCAGCAGCAGAAGAGCCGTACGTGCGGTGGAGCTGTGCAGATGTCACGGTGGTGACAGCAGGCTCCAATGCGTGCCATGGCTGCAGCGGGGGCATCGCCCCCTGTGCCCTCTCGCCCCTCTCTGACTCCTGGCAGTGCGCCTGCCCTGCTCAGGTGTCTTACCTGCCCACTGCCCTACCACGTACCAGTAGATGCTTTCTCCTGTTTTGCACGTCTTCTTTCCAAAGCCCGAATTGCACACCTGTGACCTATAATCCAGTTAGCTTGTTGAATGCTGGCTACTGATCCAATACATGCTCCGATCCAACCTTCCAACCTCTCTCCACTCCACTACATGCTCTCCCATGCTGCAGTTGCCGCTGTCAGGGTCATACTGTGAGCGCAAGGACGAGTGCATGGTGGACAGTGACTGTGGCGTGAATGCTAAGTGCATTGACATCCTCTCCTCCAACTCCCCCACAAGGTCGATTCCCCTTCTTTCATGCTCCACTCCTCCTCTCCACATATCCCTCCTCAATTCCGTGACATTTCCCCCTTCCCCCTCCCCCCCCACCCCCCGTTGTCTCCCCCTCGCCCTTTTGCCTCCTCTGTGCTGTCTATTAGTCCATTTCCACGCCACTCCCTTTCTCGTCTCGTCCTCATCTCCGTGTTTCACCTCTTTTTTTCTCTCTGTCGTCCTATCTCTCCGTCTCTCCATCTCTCCCCCGCACAGGCAGTGCTTCTGTGCGGAGGGGTGGATGGGTCCGCAGTGCTCGCATCGCTCGCCCCTATCCCTGGATGCAGCAGTGGACACCACCTCCTGGTGGAAGGAGTATCCATTCAACCTCACCATCCCCATCACCACCACCGCAACCACCGCCAACACAATCACAAACGCTTCTGCCGGTGGCCTTATGACGCCTACCATCTCTGCTGCTTCTGCTGGTGTTGGCGGTGTTGCTGGTGCTGCGGGTGGCAGTGCGGTTGCAGGGAGTGGAGTGCGGTACGTGACGATATGGTGGAAGATTCTCAAGGATGATGCCGCTGATGCGTCACTGCCTGGGGGATCTTCGCTCGCGTCCTTTGGACCACAGGTGTGTGCTTTGGGCAGACAGATACACAGAGTGCGTCCTATAAGATGTTGGAACTGTGTATAACTTGGGAGATGTAGGTCCTACTGCCCTGAACATACGCTTCCCCTGCTATCTTATATGTTTTTCTCTTTCTTTGTCCCTGCCTACCTTCCATCACACGTGCTAAATCTCCCTACCCCCCCTTCTGCATCCCCACCGTCCCCCTTACCCTCACATGCAACCCCACACTAGATTGAGGTAGCCATTGCAGCACCCACCACCAGCTACGTCGCCATTGGCTGGCGCCCCGCCAACCTCCCCTGGGTCCCACCTCCCAACATCAACCCCTCCCGCGCCACACCTTTCCCCCCGTCCCCTCCTTCCCCTCCTCCGCCCTCCCCCTCCCCACCGCCCCCTGTTCCCCGCCGTTCGCCTCCTCCCCCCCCTGCTCTCCCTCCTCCTGCTCCTCTCCGCACCCCCACTAGCCGCCGAAACCGAAGGTCCCCTCCCCGGGAGGAGAGGAGGAGCGGGGGAGCTGCGGGAGAAGGGAGGAGAGGTGGGGGGGAGGATAGGAGGGATGGGGGAGATGGAAATGAGGAAAGGTGGGGTGAGGGAGGTGCGGGGAGAGAGAGGAGAGGTGGGAGTGGTGCTGCAGGTGAAGAGAGGCGGAGTGGGGGAGGCAGGAGAGAGAGGAGCAGAGAACCACAAGAGGGGAGGGAAGGACGAAGGTCAGGGGAAGGGTCCAACACGCGCTCTGGACCACAAACCGAATCGCAATCAGATTCTGGGGAATTCAGTGGGCGTGAGAGTGGCAGCAGCAGGCGCAGGAGTGGAGGCAGCAGCAACAGAGCAGGTGGCAATGCAGCAGATGCTGATGCAGCAGAGGCTGATGCTACAGGCAGTGACACTGCCGCGGATGGCAGCGGCTCGAATGAACGGCGTGTGAGGGGACGAGAGACAAGGGAGACTGATGCGGTGACGGTTCCAGGTGCAGCAACAAGCGCCGCTGTAACGGCACACCCTGCTGCGCCAACTACTCGCCCCGCTGCCACAGCTGCACACCCCGCTGCTACAACAACAGCTCGTCCCAGATCCACTACCTCTCTCTCCGCCTCCTCCTCCTCCTCCTCCTCCTCCTCCTCCTCTTCCTCCTCGCCCTCTTCTGCATCTCTCTCTCGCACCACCGCTGCTGCCACGCCTCCTGCCCCCACGCCACCGTCAATCGTGGTGGAGAGGCAACACAGGGTACCAGTCCGAGAGGCGTCAGCAGGAGCCATGCCGGCTATGTTCCAGCAGGATATGACCATTGTTACGGCCCGAGGGGGCTACTACCGCATCCAGGTATGTGTTTTGAGGCGTCAGCAGGAGTCATGCCGGCTATGTTCCAGTAGGATATGGCCATCGTTACAGCCCGAGGGGGCTACTACCGCATTCAGGTGTGTGTGTGCTTGTTCTGAGGCGCCTCAAGAGTCACGCAGGCAATGTTCCGCTCGTTCTTCGTTCAATGCTAACCTTCTCTCATCCGTCCTTCACCCCCTCTCTCCTCCCGCTCCTCCCTTCCCCCCCACCCCCAACCCCCCTCCTCCCCCCCGCAACAGGACGCATGGACGTTTTCGACCCATGGCATGCCCATAGCAGACACAGCAATGGGCGGCACGGATGACATCACTGCTGCTACCGCCCACGAAGACGCTGCCTCTGGCACCACTTATGTCAAATTCAGACGGCCCCTGCTGCCTTCCGATGACTGTGAGTGTGCTCTCTTGCTTGCTTGCTCTCCGTGCTTCAGTCACCCTGTCTCACTGCTGCCTCTGCGACGGCTGATGAGTGATTCTGAATGTGTTCTTGTTCTTTCAAAAATCCTTTCGCTCACCCCCTTTTTCTTCCCCCATCTGGCCCCACCATGCAGCCTTCGACCATGCCATCACTGATAGCGATTTCACCCTCGTCTGGGCTCTCGGTCAACCCTCGCCTGCCCTCCCCTCCACTGGCCCTCTCCTCTCATCCGCTTCTGCCACAACCACCCAGACCCTCTCAACCCTCTCCTCCTCGCCCTTCCCCTCCTCCTCCGCCTCTGCGTCGCTGCCTCCTCTTGTGCAGCAGCAGATTGCTGCATTTTATAGGTACGATGAGGTCACGTACTGCCCCATGCTGCCCATAGCCGCCGCCACTGCTGCCACGGCTACTCCTGCTACTCCTTCTTTCATGCAATGCCTGCGAAGTCTCTTGCATCACCCCTCCTTCCTCCCTGGTGGATCCTGCATCTTCAATTCCTTTCTCCATCGGCCCCATGGCCCATGTGCAGGGCGGACGAGTTGAAGTACCATGGTGGCAGCAGCAGCAGCCGGGGGTCATTCCCGCGCATCAACCTCTTTCTCGGCTCCGACCCTCTTAACTCCGGCCTCTGCCAACCCTCCCCTCTGCCTGGCTTCTCCTGCTCCCTCGCCCTGCAAGGCGATCGGTAACCTCCCTCTTTCCCTTGCTCTATGCTATCAGCTCTGCATTACCGTGATGCCTTGTGCTATTCTCGTCACGCCCAATACACCCCCGCTCACGCATATGACACGCTCTTTTCCATCACGCTCTTTTCGCTTTTCTTTGCCCATTCCATCCTGCCTAGGCCCAAATCCCTTTTTGCGCTCCCTCTCTCTTCTCCTCCCCTGCCTGTACAGAGTGACCCTCCATTGGGCCCTCCTCCCCACCTCCCTCTCCATCGCTCTGCAAGTCACCGACTGCAAAGGATGGCTCTCTGTAGGCTTCACTCCCTCTCCCTCCTCCTCCTCGTCTCCCTCTAAGCTCTCCGCCCTTGGGAGCTACGTGGTGCTTGCTGATGTCAGCCAAGCCAGTGCTGGCGTCAGCCGGGTGTCTCCCTATTCACGCGCAGCAGCAGCAACACCAACAGCAGCAGCAGCAGCAGCAGGAACGGGAACAGCAGGAGCAGCAGCTGCAGGGGGAGCGAGGACGACAGGTGGGGGAGCAGCCGTGGGAGCATCCAGTGGAGGAGCAGGTGCAGCAGGGAGCCCAGTGGTGCGGTCATTCATACTAGTGAACCACACAGCGCAGGGCGTGCAGAGCAGCAACCGCCTGGAGTTCTCCAACGCATCAGTCACTCTCGTCAATGGCTCGGCGCTGCTCTCCTTCTCACGCCCCTACACTCAGCGCAACGGCGCCCCGAATATCTCCCTGGGGGCAGATGAGCTCTCACACCTCGTGTGGGCGTTTTCTCCCAATGCGTTCTCCTCCTCTGGGGGGTCCGCTTCCCTGCCGAACCACTACCTCCAGAACAGGTACACTCCTGTTGCCGAGGCGCCTTTTCCTGTATTCCATATTTACCTGTCTCCTTGATCTTGCCCTTTTGGTCCTGCCACCCTGCTTAGTCTTCTTCTTCTTCTTCTTCTTCTTCTTTTCGTTTTTCTTGCAAAGCTCCTCTCCAGACCACCTGAAAAAGGCCCACTCATCCTTTGCCTCACCATCCTTGTGACGCCCGCACTTGCTCAACCATGCCTGTGTCTCCCCAGGGGCTCTCTATGGTTGAACTGGGCATCAGGGGAGGCGCAGGTGCAGGCGTCGCCCTTCCCATGGCTCATCGCTCACGCTTCCATCATGGCCTTTGTCTTCTGCTTCCTCCTCCCTCTCTCCGCCGTCGCTGCACGGTCAGTCACCAATGTGCTCATGCATCATCATCGCACCTTGTTTCTCAAACTTTCCTGACTTTGTTTCTCCTGCTTTTGACGGTTGTCTTCCTAATCGCCCCCTCCTCAATTGCTCCTACCTACACCCTCTCCGTCAACCCACCCCTTCACCACCCTCCCACAGGCTCCTAGCAGTACGCCCAGACTCCAACCGCCCTGTCTTCCACCCTCTCCACGTGCTCTCTGCCCTCCTCACGCCCCTCCTCCTCGTACCCGCACTCGCCTTTGCCATCCATGCAGCTTCTTTCTTCCGCACCAACTCCGCCCTCCTCCTCTCCATAGCCCCCTCCGCGCCTCACAGGCCCGCCGCCCTGCTCACCCCGCACGGGCTCCTGGGCGGCGCGCTTGTCCTTTTCCTCGTGATTGAGGTGATCTGCGCGCTGCTGTGCCGCCCGAGTGTGGGCACGCCTGGGCACGCGTGGTGGATGCTGCTGCACAGAGTGCTGGGAGTGGGGTTGTTGCTGGGAGGAGCGGCTAATGTTGCCCTGGGAGCTCTGCAGCTGGCTATGCTGCTAGGCCAACCACTCTGGGTGAGTGCAAGAGGAGGGCATTCAGGGGTGGTGTGCGTGCGGTGTACGTGGAGTGGTTTTTCTCATCCTTTTATACCTGTCCACGGTTTACCCTCCACACATTTTCTAACTCTATCAACCCCCCCCCCACCCATCGTCCCTGCAGTTGTGTGTGGGCGTGCCTCTGCTCCCCTGGGCGCTCCTCTCGCTGCTCTACCTGCTGCTGCAGCTCGCGCGCCCCACGCCAGCAGCCCCACCCAAGCTCCAGGCAGAGGATTTCGACGTGCTGGCTGCGGCCATGCGCACCAAAGTCACGGGGTTCAAGGGGGCAGGAGCGGCAGGGGTGAATGGCGGGGCGGGGCAGGGAGAGGGGGTGAGGGATGGGGTTGTGGGGGGGTTGGAGGAGTGGCCGCCTGCTGGGGTGAAATGGCCGACTGCTCGCCGATCGGCACCTGGTGAGATTGATAACATCAGCTGCGTCACATGCCGTGTCTTTTGCATGCTGTGCCATGTGCGTCATGTTATGCCACGCTGTGTCAGGCCATGCCATGTGGTAGCATGCCTTCTTATGCTCAAAACCTCGTTCCATTCGTGATTCTCCCTGACTTGTGCAGGAACTCCCTCGGGGCCGCAGAGGCAGCAGCAGAGCCCCACGCGCAGCTTCGGCAGTGTGAGTGAGCTCGGCAGCACCACAGACTCCTCCCCGCCTCCCAGGGAGCCCCTCTACGGCCGCCCCTTCATCTCCCACAGCAGTGGGGAGAGCAGTAGCAGCGGGGGGGAGCAGCGCAGGTGGCAGGGTGTGCGGCGTGGGGGGAGGCGGGCGTGGCAGAGAGGGCAGGAGACGGTGGAGACTTCTCCGTGGGAAGTGCATGAAGAAGCACGCAAGTATCGTGCTGATCAAGGGAGTGTGTAGTCCTAGGGAATAGTTTTTTGTGTGTCTATGTATGTGTAAAATGTATTATAAAGCAGTAGTCCCCCATAATCATTTGTTTTTCTGACTAATAAGAACAGGGTACATGAATAACATGCATAACACTAGGGTACACCCTGCGAGAATGCAAACACTGCGCAACACGAAAACGAATCTAGGAAGGTTGTAATTTCATTCGGCGAACATTTCGCAACCTTTCCGCTTCGCACACTCCCTCGCAACCGCCCCACCACACTCTTTTTCAACCGCCCAGGCACGGTTGTTCCTGCAGGATTCAGGCTTGCTGCTCCTGAGATCCACACCAGGTTGCCGCGGGTGAGCGGAGCGGAGGTTGCGGGGAGGAGTGGCAGGCACGGCGGGAGGGAACACTGCCTTTGCCTCAGCCTCTGTCACCCTTGCCATCCCTGCATCCCTGCTAGCCCCGCCGTCGCTGCCAATTCTGCGAGTCTCGCTGTTCTTGCCTGTCTTGCCAGCTCGGCCGATCCGACGTTGGACGTTGCTCGATCGCACGTCTCGATCTCACCATCCATGGCGTCGGCAACTCCATCGGACGGCCTAGCGCAATCCCCGCCTCCTCCAGCGGCGGAATTCACAGCGAATCCCGCCACGTCAGTGGCGGAAGCTGGTGCCACGTGGCAGGCGGACGCGTCGTCAGAGACGCGGTCGCAGTCCCCGTCGGACGAGCCCGCGCGGCAATCCCAAGGTCCGGTCGAAGCACCCGCGCAAGTCCCTGGTGCTGCGGGGAAGGGTGAAGGCGGTGAAATTCCCGCGGGGGGTGTACCCTCCGGCGCGGATGAAATTCCCGCTGATGGGGGTGTACCCTCTGCCGCTGCTCCCACTCCTGCTGCTCCCGCTGCTCCCGCCGCTCCCGCCGCTCCCGCTGTCGGTGAGGAGCAGTCGTCTGGCGGGTCAGTCGGCACTCCCACGGCCGCTCTAACCACTGCTGGCAGTAGCAGCGCGCTTAACGCCGCCGCTCCCGCCTTCGTCCCGCAGTTTGCATGCGCGGGCGCGGGCGCAGGCGGAGACGTTGCGTGGCTGCCGGCGCACCTGCTGCCCCCGCAGCCGCTGCTTCCGCTGCCGTTCAACACGTCTGGAACGGCGCAGCAAGGCGGTGCGCCGTTCGCGGGGTATGGCAGAGGAATTTCCGCGCACGCGCTGGCGCAGGGGGTTGGCGGAGGGTGGGGGGATGCGGGGTGGGAAGCGGGGGGGGTTTGGGGCGCGCAGGATGCGCTTGGGGCGATGCGGGGAAGCGGAGCGGACGGCGGAAGGAGAGAGGGGCGCGCGGATGGGTCGGCGGGTGGTGGCGGGGCAGGCGGAACGGCTCGTGTGAGTATCCTGCGCGCAAGTATAGTGCGCCGTGCTGTGTGTGTGTGTGTGCAATGAGAGTGTACCATGTCTCACTGACTTACTACTTGTAAGCAAGTAGAGCGAGGCTGACTGACTGCTGAGGGTGGTGGTGGATGGATGTGCAGGTGCAAGGGCAGGGGCACGGGCGAGGGCGCGGGCACGGACACGGGCAAAGGCATGCGCACCCACAGGGCCACCCACAGGGCCACCCACATGGGCACGCGCGTGGGCACGCGCAGGGGCACGCGCAGGGGCACGCGCAGGGGCACGCGCAGGGCCATGCGCAGGGACAGGGGCATGCGCAGGGGCAGCAGGAGAAAGGCGCAATGGGGAGGAGGGAGGCGGGAGGAGGAGGCGGAGGGGGAGGAGGCGGAGGCGGAGGCGGAGGCGGAGGGGGCATGGTGCGACGCTCTAAGGCGACGTTGGAACAAGAGGCGGATGTGAAAGAGGTGCTGCTGAAACTGGTACGCGGTGACGAGGGGTTGGGAGTGGCGGAGATGGGGGTGAGAGGGGAGAGGGCGAGAGGGGGAGAGGGAGAGGAAGAGAGGGATGGGGGGTATGGAAGGAGAGGGAAGGAGACGGGTGAAGGGAGTGGTTTGTCTGGTGTGTAAGTGTGGTTGATGGAAGAGGGGAAGAGGGCGAGCTTGTGTGCGTGAATGTGGTGTGTGGCTTCTGCCTGTCGTTATTGTTTCCTTTCCTGCCCAGCCTGTGAAGTTGTGAACTAGTGTATGTACCTTCAAACTGAATATGGCTGCATGTGTGCATGCGTACATATGTGCACGCATGCTTGCATGCATGTATTCATGTGTGCATGTATTCATGTGTGCATGTGTGCATGTGTGCATGTGCATGTGTGCATGTGCATGTGTGCATGTGCAGGTGGAGTTCTATTTCAGCGATCACAACATGCCATACGACCATCACCTCCTATCCATGGCTAACCAGGACCCCCAAGGCTTCGGTCAGTGCTCTCTCCTCTCCCCTCGGAGTCGTTGCAAGCTGCAACGCAACGCTCTCTATGCACACCAGTGTCCAGAATTTAATTGTGATGCTCTAGTCTTTGTCATGGCCATGGAGAGATTTGAAGCTCAGGCTTCAGTTAATGCTCTCTCTAGTGAGGGGGTGAATGAGTGAGTGAGGGAGTGCGTGTGGGAGTGAGCGGCTGGCATTGTAAGTGGTTGCAAGTTTGTCTAGCCATCTCTCCCTGCTGTTGTCTCTGGGCCGTCCTTCCCTTCCCCTCCACCAACACCACATCCCACCACACCACACCCCACCACACCCCACCGCATCCCACCCCACCACACCACGACAGTGTCGCTGTGGTACCTGGCGCAGTTCAGGGAGGTGCGGTCCATGCTGCATCCCACCATGTCCACTGCACCAGGCCCCATCGTTGCACTGCTTGCCGATGCCATCCGTGAAGCCTCCTCCTCAACCACAACTACCCTGGTCAGTCGCTCTCACGTCACTTCACTCCTTCCTTCTTGCAACTGCTGCTTCGTTTTGCCACTGCCGCCTTTCTCTTGCTGCGGCCACTATGGCGAGTTGTGATAGTGCCGCCTTTATGATTTCTCTACTTGGTGCTTCTGCTCCCTGCCCTGCTGTGCCGTGCTCTCCTTTGCTCTGCGTCTCTGTCCTCTCCCATCAGGTGTTGAGCGAGGACGGCATGAGGGTGCGCAGGCAGCAACCCCTGCCATTCACAGACGTGGATGAGCTGCAAGCACGCACCGTCGTCCGTCCTTTGAGTCCACTTAAAAATACTTTCCGTTCCTCCCCTCTTCTCTGTGCTGGCCCATCAGGTGTTGAGCGATGACGGCATGCGGGTGCGCAGGCAGCACCCCTTACCCTTCACAGACGTGGATGAGCTGCAGGCACGCACAGTCGTCGCCCACAACCTCCCACCCAACCTCTCGCTCTCTGCCATAGAGGACATTTTCAAGCAGGCTGGCAGGTTAGGATATAGGATTCAACAGGAACCTGTGAGAAGTGGAGGTGATGTTATGTGTGTGTGTTTTGTTTTGTTTGTTTGTTTGTTTGTTTGTTTGTTTTTTTTTTAGTGAAGTTAGGGGGGTTCTGGTGACATGAAGGGCGAGAAAGAGAGGGAGGAGGAGGTCGGATGCATGGAGATATACAGTGGTTGATGCTGCGCCTCCCTTGTCACCTTGCACCCCTTCGCCTGCCCTACCTTGTGTTCCCTTCCTTCACTTCTCACCTCTTCACATTCCCTCATCATCTGATCTCCTCCTCCATTGTGTTCCTTTCCTCCCCTCCCTCCCCCCCCTCAACTTCCCCATGTGCGTGCCTGGGCATCACTCACACAGGGTGCGCGTGGTGCGTCCCTGCACAGCAACTTACAGGTGTCCAAATTCCGAGGTGCCTCAATAATTCTTTCCTCTCTTGCTCTTCCCCCCCTCCCCGTGTGTGTGTGTGTGTGTGTGTGTGTGTGTGTGTGTGTGCGTGCGTGCGTGTGTGCTGTGGATGTCTGGCAGGGTGCGCATGGTGCGTCTCTGCACCCCACAGGCGTCTGGTCACACTGCTTCTGCTGTGGCCCACGTGCGAGTTGCCGCCACTGCTGCCCCTTCTGCTGCTGCGTCTGCCGCCACCGCCGCAGCTGCCACTGCTGCTGCTTCTTCGATTGCTGATGCCCTGTCAGCTGATGCTGCCGCTGCCACTGCTGCTGCCCCTGCCACTGCTGATGCCCCGTCAGCTGCCGCTGCTCCTTCCGCTGCTGCTGACCTGCTTACTGGTGCCAGCAACAGCCACGGGGAGGCAGCAACTTGTGCGAAGGTGAGGTGGACTGTGCAGGTGTGGCTGTCTGTACTGCACTAAGTGGTTAGTTTTGAGGTGACTCGAAAATCACCTCATCACACGCCGATTGTACATGGGAAGGCGTGGCTGCAGCAATTGGCTCACTGCAGCAATTGGCTCAGTACATGTTACCAGGAGATGGAGTGTGGTTCAGACAGTGGGTATCTTCAATCTTGAAATCGTTGCAGTGAGTTTGGAGGTGGTGAGATGTGGGTAAAAGAGGGTACCTTGATTTGAAGGGACGACTTGGTTTGAGTGGTGGTACAAGGAATGAAAGAGATCAGTGCAGCGCATCTGCGTTGGTGCATGTTGTATTTCTGACTGCGTGCGAGAACGCATGCGCATGGTTGCTCATGCTGCCGTGTTCAATCCATGACGTGACATGCTCCGTTTCGCGCATCTGCGTGTGTGCGTGTGCGTGTGTGCGTGTGCGTGTGCGTGTGCGTGTGCGTGTGCGTGTGCGTGTGCATGTGCGTGTGCATATGTGCATGCTGCTTACATCGTGGCCTCCATCTGCACCTATCTTGTCTTCTCTTGGCAGTTCCAAGCACTCATCGAGTTCCACACAGTGGAAGAAGCTCGCAACGCGGTATGCAATGCCCCCCTCAATCATCCCCTCAATCCCACCCCCTTCTCTGCTCCACCCTCCGCCTCCGCTCCTCCCTTCCCTACCTGCCCTCTGCTTCTTTCCACATGCACGGGTATCAACCAAATGACCGACCAGCCCCAGCTACCATCAATTTAGTTACCTCTGCATTTTGAGGCGCCTTCTAACCCCATCTGCTACTACATCAAATTGCATTGCCTGTTTTGTAGACACGTCACATGCTCCTAGCCCGCTACTTTTGAGAATTAACCCCTGGTCCTTCGATCGAATTCTCCAATCCAATGGGTTGCTCAGCGTTACTTTTATATCAGGGTCGTGAGGACTCTCGATCGAGCACATGTGCTTCTTTCGACATGTACCTGTCGCTTTTGAGAGTTTTGAAAAGCACCTCCACCAATGTACCCGTCCCATGCTGTCAGGTGGAGACATTGAATAGCAGCGACTGGCGACACGGCATGCATGTCAAGCTGTTCAAGAAACTAACTAAAGTAAGTTCCGAGTCGTCACAAAGAGTACGAAACCCATTCAGTTACGCGCGGTCCACGGTGTTACATAGTAGTATTATATACTAAAAAAGGTTCGGGCTGGAAAAGGCATGGGTTCTAAAAGTGCTACCAGAATCGAGGTGTGGGCGTGTGGGCAGGCAAGGGAAGAAATTTCAAAGGACATGAAGGAAGCAGAATTACATTGTTGCACAAACGTTTACTTTACTCTCCTGTTGCGCCACTGGCACAACTAGTGCTTAACTTATTCGTTTCAGATTCTTGGTTGCTATGCGAGCCATGCTCGTGTTGAATGGTTGCATGTATCAATATGCGAGCCATGTTCTCTCTTCTGTGTTGCATTTCAGAAACAGTTGATGCAGCAGCAGCAGGAGCTGCAGCAGCAGCTGCAGAAGCAGCAGGAGCATTGGCAGCAGGAGCAGAACAAGTTGAATCAGCAGCAGGAGCATTGGCAGCAGGAACAGATGCAGTTGAAGCAGCACCAAGCGCAGGTGAGGCACGAGCGGCAGCAGCGGCGGCAGCAGCAGCAGCAACAGGATCAGCAGCGGCAGGGGCAGCATGCTGAAGCAGCAGGCAGGGGCAGAAAGTCAGCCGGCATGGCTGGGGTTCCTGGGGACATGGGGGACAGGGGTGGGGGCGGCACGGAGCGGATTGAGAAGAGCGGCAGGAGGGGAGGAGAGGGAGGTCATGCACTGGCGACCGGCAATGAGAACAAGGTGAGCAGTGATGGCAAGGTGAGTGGTTTGCCCCTAGTCTGCTCAAGTCTTTTGACAGCCAGTGTTGCTAGTTTATCATTATCACGGTTATGGTGGCTCTGGCTTTGATGCTGAACGGATCCAAACCTCATCCGAACCTCATCCGAACCTCATCCGAACCTCATCCGAACGTCATCTGAACCTGCATAGAAGTTTGGGTCTGGATGCAAACCCATTTGGCTTCTACCCTTCTGTACCTTCCTATACAAGTGAAGTCCAATGTTTCACTCACCTATTAAATATATTACTGTACCTTTTTTGTGTGTGCTGTGGTTCCCACTCACCGCCAGCTCACTCCAACAACCTCCACGCATTCATCTTTTACATTGTCTGTATTTCCGTCCCATACGACCTCTATCCCCCTCATGTACTTCAGCACATGCACATGCATATGCATGCGCAGGCATGCTCAGGGGACCCCCTGTGTGACTCCTGTGCCCCTGTGCCTGCTGCATCACCCACGGCTCATGGCAAGAAGAGCAGGGCAGGGAAGGGCAGGGGGCGAGGGGGAGAGGGAGGGGGAGGCAGGCACGGGGCAGCAGGGGGAGCGGGAGGAGAAGCAGCATCTGGAGCAGGCCGGGGTGGGGCAGGAGGGGGCGGTTCTAGAGGGAATGTGCCTGGTGCAGCTGCTGCTGCTGCTGCTGGCGGCAGTGGTGGCGGTGGTGGGAGCAGTGGCGGTGGGGGGGAGGCGGTGGGGAGCAAGCCGCTGCCAGGGCCGAAGGGTCCGGATGGAAGCAGAGGGTTCTCCATGGGAAGAGGCAAGCGCATGCCGGGTTCGTGAGCAAGGGTGGAGGAGACTAGTTTTGAGGCGCCTCCAACGGTCGTGAGCGAGGGTGGAGGAGATGGGGGCTTGTGAACGAGTGTGATGTGAAAGAGAGAGAGCTCTTGAACGTTGTCAGGTTTTGCTAGTGCTGCATGTGCCACACTTGCTTGCTTTGGCATGTCAACAGTGGGGAGACAGATGGTTCAGGAGGTGGGCAGTTTGGAAGAAAGGGTGGTGTGGTGTGGTTTGTCTATGGTGGTGTGTGGTTTTTCTGGCCGGGTGGGCTTTGGCTGGAGCGGTGGATGGTTGTGCTCTTGTTGCTGCACAGCCGGTTGTGGTGGGTTTCATGTGGCATGGGAGTAAACATGCAATTCGTGGTGCTAGGAACTTTCATGTTGTGATTCCTGGTCATGCCATTCACTCAAGAGAGGGGGGTCAAGATGGGGAGTTTTTCTGTGTGTGCAGATGGGCATGTGAGTACGGTATTCGATGTGTGAGCATCCATGTGCTGGTGCTTCTAAGAGCTCGTGTGATGGTCTCAGATATAGAATGCAACGGAATGGTTGGATTAGGGTAGGGAGGCAATACAAATAGGAAGCCTAACAAAGTTGTACTCTCTATGGAGTACCTCACTGCAGCTTATCACAATACGGTAATAACATTTGACACACCCCCATAGGCTAAGTGAGGGGCACCCAACAACTAGCAAGTGAAACAATGGTTACCACAAGACCAGTCAGGAGCAAGCAACAAGACAAGGCTCAGGGTGGCGCTGAAAGTCACCACACACTCCGAGCACAAACAAGCGGCCACAAGGCCAGTTCAAGAGTTCACTACACTAGGATATATAGCAAAGCACAACAAGCAGAGCAAACAGCAAGTCTACAGCAATCGTGGGCCTAGCTCAACAAGCCCTAGCTGCACACATAACCTGTGGTGGTCACCAGGCGCCAAGGCCTTGGTGAAGACGTCGGCAGTGTTGGCCTCTGAGGTCCAAGCGTGCCTGGCCGCGTCGCTGTAGCTCTCGTAGGAGAAAGTACCTCACGTCAATATGCTTCACTCTTCTCTCCAGTCGAGGCTCTCGACACAGGAGGATCATGGCCTTGTTGTCAGCGTACAAGGTTGGTGCAGAGCGAGGCCGCTCACCAAGGTCGGTGAGCAAGAAGGTCAACCAGCGAAGCTCCTGTGCCGCCATGGCACCAGACGACGACCGTATAGACCTCCACGACACAGCACCAGCACCAAGACCGAAGCAGTAACCCTGAGTCAAACGCTGACCGGTCAACACAACTGGCTGTGTCCCTCCAAGCACAAGCCCCATGCCTGATGTAGTCGCCAGGTACTTCGCCACCCTCACAGCGGCTGTCGAGTGAACAGGACGGTGTCTCCCAGTCGCAACAAAGCGAGAGAGGACGCTGAGGGGAAAGGCGAGGTCCGGCCGAGTACAAGTCATCAGGTACATGAGGCAGCCCACAAGCTCTGCGTAGGGACCGCTAGACTCAAAGGGCTCGTCGGGAAAAGGGCCAGTGAGTCGGTGGTCAACGGCAAGAGGAGTGGGCCGTGTGGTGGAGAACTGAAACCCGAACCGCCGAAGGACCTGCTGCACCATGTGTGACTGATTCAGTGTGATGGTGCGAGCGGCTCTGTCCCTGGTGATCTGCAGGCCAAGGTAGCGCTGCAGTTCACCGAGGTCAGTGCACGTGTGTCTCTTCTGCAGTTCGGACTTCACCTCAGCCAGAGCTGCCCTGTCTGCTGTAGCAAAGACCAAGTCGTCGACGTAAACTAGTATAAAGAAAGGAGTGGAACCAGCGCGAACAAACAGCGACGGGTCGGCAGAGGAAGGACGAAACCCAAGGTCACAAAGCGTGGAGCGAAGAGTGTCGTGCCACTCACGGGGCGACTAGCGGAGACCGTAGACTGGTCGCCTCAGGCTCCACTGGGTCCCAGGTGGGAAGGTGTGAGTGAAGCCAGGAGGACGGCGCAGCCAGATCTCCTCGTGTAGGCGGCCCTGGAGAAACGCAGTGGAGAAGTCGAGGGAGTGCAGCTCGTAGTCTCGCTGTGCTGCTACGTGCAGTAACACCCGAAGAGTAGTCATCTTCGGGGTCGGGGCGAAGGTCTGGAAGAAGTCCACTCCCTCACGCTGACTGAAACCCCTAGCCACGTAGCACGCCTTGAACACGGGCGGGGAACTAGGCGGCCGCTTCACCTTGAAGAGCCACATGCCATCGACAACGTTCGCCCTGGGAGGGGGAACTGCGTCGACGTAAGTGCCTGTGGATCTCCAAGACGCTAACTCTGCGTCCATAGCCGCTTTCCACTGAGAGGCCCTTTCCCCTGACACTGCCTCACGGTACGTGCGAGGTGTCGGTATGTCAAAGGCGTCGGGGTCTCCCTAAAGGGAAAGTAGCATGGTGCAGAGAGAGGGGGAAGCGGCTGCTAAGAACTCCAGCTCAAACTGCCTGTCCTCTAGGACGTCACAGCCAAGGGAAGACTTACCCCTGACGGACAGAGGACGGGGAGGTGGAGCAGCCACCACATGCGTGGCGTAGTCAAGACGGCGGGTGGAAGGAAAGTCAGCGACAGCGGCAGTAAGAGCCGAGACAGGCGACGGAGAGGTACGAGGGTCGGTGACAAGAGAGGCGAGAACACATGAGACAACAGGGCGAGCAGCGCGGTAGTAGTCAGTGATAGGGTGAGAGGAAACGGTGAGAGGCGACTCAGGAGGTGAGGGGAGAATAGACACAGGCGGAGAACGACGAGGACTAGAACGAAACAAGACAGTGCGGAGGTCGGCAAGAGGAGACAAGGGCCGAGCACGCGGAGGACAACGACTGGTCCAGTCGTGCGGGACAACAGGAGGAGACGACTGTGACTGAGGAGGAGAGAAAACAGCCGGAGCCGAGTCCGGAGAAGGAAACGTAGGACCGTACGCGGTAGGAGACTGTGAGTGGACAGGAGGAGAGGAAGGAAGACCAAGGGCCCGAAGGCCACTCACTGGAGGGAACAGCTGCTGGAAAAGTGGCGGCTGCGGCTGCTGCTGCTGCTGCTGCTGCTGCTGCTGCTGCTGCTGCTGCTGCTGCTGCTGCTGCTGCTGCTGCTGCTGCTGCTGCTGGTCCAACTGCTGCAACTCCTGCCTCTCCTGCTCCAACCGCTCCTGCTCCTCGCGCTCAAGCCGACGAAGGGCCTGGAGACGGGTGTCGTAGCGGTGGGGAGGCGCAGTGGGCGCCGCAGTACTCGCGCCTCCAGCTCCTGTCTCCTCAGTACCAGCTCCTGCAGCACCAGCACCTCCTGCTCCAGCACCCCCAGAACTAGCACCACGAGCGCCAGTACCTCCAGCTCCAGCACCCCCAGAGCTAGCGCCACCAGCGACAGCACCTCCGGCTCCAGCACCCCCTGAACTAGCACCTCTAGTGCCAGTACCTCCAGCTCCAGCACCCCCAGAACTGGCACCTCCAGTGCCAGTACCTCCAGCTCCAACACCCCCAGAACTAGTGCCACCAGTGCCAGCACCTCCAGCTCCAACACCACCTGAGTCCACAGTAACCTGTCGCGGAAGTGCCGAAGGCTGCTGAAGGGACTGTGAGGAGGACTGCGGGGAGGGAGACGCTACCTGACGGGGCAGGACCAGGGGGGGGTGGGGGTACCGGAGGAGCGGGAGCAGGGGGAGGAGAGAGTGCGAGGTGTCAACGGGAGTTGTTGTTGGCCCCGTCCTCGCTTGGGCGGAGCCGACTTCGTGGTTGGGTGTACGGGAGGTACAGCCGACTTACAGCAGTGGGCGACGCCGACTTGGGCGAGCTGGTCGACGGGGTTGGTCGACTTGCACGGGGCCACTGCAATGCCGCCGACTTGGGAAGCCGGCGGCCGACTTCAACTGGTGGTCGGCGATGTGGCACGTCGACCTGGAAGTCGGCACCGACTTGCAAGGTCACCGACTTGCAAGGTCACCGACTTGCAAGGTCACCGACTTGCAAGGTCACCGACTTGCAAGGTCACCGACTTGCAAGGTCGCCGACTTGCAAGTCCGCCGACTTGCAAGGTCGGCCCGGAAGTCGGCGCCGACGTAGAAGGGGCGTCGACTTGGTGACGCCGACTTCGGGTAGCCGACTTGGGTGGTCGGCTGACGACTGTGCTGGTCGACATGGAGCTGGTCGACCAGGAGTGACGTCGACCTGGAGCTGGTCGACCAGGGGTGTGGTCGACCTGGTGAGGTCGACAGGAGGTGGCCGTCGACTTGGGAGGTCGACGGGCACATACAGGAGCACCTGGTCGACGTGGTTGCCCGGTCGACCAGGTTACCTGGGTGACGAGGTTCTGCGGAGGAGTGCGACGGTCGCCCAGGCGAAGTTGGCGAGTCCGACCTCGGGGGTGGTATCCCGAGGTCGACGTGGCTGATCAGATGCAGTCGTCAGCGCCAGGTTGACTTGGTGTGTGCGCTGTGCAGGTGACAAGGCTCCGCATGCCAATCATCTGCGAGCACCTGCGAAGCTGGTGCGATGCTGTTCTGCGGGAGCAACGCTGGCACGCCGTCAACTTGCAACGTTGGCACGCCGTCGACTTTGCACTGCTGGAGCGCGGTCGATCAAGTCGTGCTGGAACGCGGTCGACCACGCTGTGCTGGCAGTCGACCGACCTGAATGCTAGCTCTGATGTAGTCTAGCCATGCCATCTTCATTGTACCATTGTTGTCAACTTTCTCTAGTGAAACTCTTGCCAACTTGCCCCGTGAACTAGCAAGCAGTGTGTGCACTAGGAAAACGACTAAGGACCAACGAACGCAGAGATCACACGAGCACCTATGCCTAGCCCGTAGTCTAGCTCCCGTTGTAGTAGTTATCTCCGCATGGTGCGGTGAGCGTGGACGGCACACGACTTACCTTTCAGTCAGGTCGACGTAGAAGTCACTTACCTAAGTTGTTCGTAGGCCGGCAGCCGTACAGTCACTAACGTGCGCGTAGGTGACACCAAGGTGATGGACACCCTGGAGGGACGGCTGCAGGATGCGAGGAGACGCCTTGAGG